GTCCTACTTTCAGTCTTAATAGACACGTCTGCCTCAAACAATTCAATAATGATCTAGATAAATTTATTATTATTGCTAGTACAAGATCCAATTTACCCACTACAACTTTTCTTGAATGGAAAGCTGCACTTATAAAAGAATTTCAATGTTTGCTTTTCAAGGCGCCTAATTTCAAACTCTTTACACAATAAAAAACGCCTGGAGGATCTCATTCAAAAATTGCAACATAACTTTATCATCACGAAGATTGACAAAGCAAGCAACAATTTTAGTATTATTTGACAACACTTCTACTACAACCTTCTGCATAAAGAGTTAAATAACACTTGCACTTACCAAAAAATAACTTCCAGTACTCAGATTCTTCTAAATAAATTTAAAGCACTACATAAAAGACTTAAAATACAACCCCAGAAATATAACAACAGGTTTGCAAATCTCTATGCCTTACCGAAATTTCATAAGTCTCCAATTAAATTCAGGTTCATAGCTAATAGTACTAAAAGTTATCTCAAAGAAATAGATTATCTCTTTGCGCAAAAAACTTCGTATGATTCGTGAACTAATCAATAACTATGATTTTAAAGGTTTGCATTGCAACTGGATGATCTCTAGTAATGAACAAGTTATTAAAACTCTGAATTCCTTCAAATAGAACATATCCAATGCTACGACTTTGAAAACCTTTATACATCTCTACCACTCGAAGAAATTTTTACAAGTTTACTTGCTCTTCCAGATTTATTTCCACAAATTTCTACCATTCTCAGCAACGAAAAATGGCAGCTATTCCTTACCAGCGTTCTCTTCAATAATTTTATTCAATTTGACAATTACATCTATAAACAAGTTCAGGGAATACCTATGGGCGGGAATTTTTCAACTTCAGTTTGTGAATTATTCCTGTTCACTAAAGAACTAACCTATGTACGTTCACTCAGAACGGAAGAAAAGTCTCTTTTTCCAACACATCTATAGATATATTGATGATGTCATAGCATTTAATAACTACAACAAAATAGAAAACGCTAATATCTACCCTGCTTGCTTAAAACTTAATAAAACCAATACAGAACAGCATGATATAGTCTACCTTGATTTACATATTATTGATTACCGTTTTATTAAAGTTTACGATATAAAAGAAGAGAATTTAATTTTTCCACACTTAAACTCACTAACTGGAATTCAAATATTTCCAAAAGAGTAATAATCAACACAATTTATTCACAGCTACTTAGAATGAAAAGAATTTGCAATACTGCGGATCACTTACAAGAAGAAATACTATACTTCGTAACTATTTTAAAAAAGTAACCAAATACCACATAAAATAATTAAAAATTCCCTTACCAAAGCTGGCATTAACCTTACCTAATTATAGATTTTTTGAGTTAGATAATGATTTTTTATACCTAAAGCTACGGACGGTTTAAGAAGGATGACTAATTCAGAGAATCTATTGTAAAAATGTACAGAAAATTCTTGTTTATTCATTCTCTTTCCTCCAAAAAAATTTTGGCACTTTAATCTTAAATACTATTATGTACATATTTTTAAATTTAAATTTCTTTAGTGGCCAATTTTACTGCTTTTATTAACAAATCGGGCTTTTTTCATTTTTCATAGTAGCTTGATCGCCCGCTAGCTTGAAGAATTACGACTTTTTTAACAAATTACTGTTTGTTTTTTCCTTTTTCTCATGCTTTAATGGCCAAGTTTTTATAGTTTTAGCTGAATTTGCCATTTTCACTTCGAAAAAATTTTTTCCATCCTTCTACAAGCCAAGCGCCATTTTTTGAGCTCTTCACACGGATTCACGAGGTTTCCGGCCCCCTCCGATAATAGGAGACGAGTTACAGATAACGAAAATCACTTCGCATTGGCTAAACGCCCACAACTCTTCGCTCCCCCCTACCTACATCATCCAAAAATAAGACGCTTGAAGTTAGCAGCCATTTTTCTGCATGTTTTCAGAGGGACAGCTTTACATCGCCAAAGGTCAGTTTTTTGTTTCTTTTGTTACAACTTTTTCTTGGTCTTAGCAAGACCCACTGAGTTGTTCTTTTCTCAATTTTATTTTATATTGATTATTAACTACAGGTTTTCTTACAGTTTTATAAAATCTACAATTTTAAAAATTAAATTGTTAATCTTTAAGCTTGCAGGCCCAGCCCGAATGTATTTGTATTTTTAGGACTAATAGCTCATCGCTATTTATTTTCGTTTTGATTTTAATTTTAGACTAGATTTAGAAAGTTTGATTTTGATTAACATATTTTAACACCTTAATGTGTCTTTCTGAGCGGACGCGTCGGGAAATTGGAACAGAGAATTGAGACTATTAAAATTTCCAAGACACTTTGTCAAAAAAATTTTTAGCGAAAAAGTTTCAATTGTCTGTTTCGGCGAAACGCGTAATGGGGTTAGCTTGATTCGACGTTCAATCAAATAAATGAAATTTCCCTTGAAAAGCCTGTTTGGATAGTCGAATTGGGCTAATTTACCATTTTCCGCTTACTTTTTAACTTTTTCTGTTATTTAATTTTATTGTATTTATGTTTTACATGTCTAATGATTTGCTTTTCATGTGTATTAATTTTTGAAAACGTCTTTAACCTTTTGGAGCAGCAGCTCTTGGTAACTTTTAGGCGAGCTTTCTACAATTTTTATTTTTACTTATTTTGCAGCATATGCGCAAGATGTTTTCTTGACAAAATTGGTTTTTCAAAAAATTGTTATTACTGCTTTGTGATTATATATATATATATATATATAATGTTGTATGAGCTTAAATCCATTTAGTGCGAATACAAGTTATTATTACTTGCGCAATTGCTGCAAAGTTAGTTAATAATAATTTATTTCCTAAACAGTATGGATGCACACTTTTAAAATAATTCTACTTTAATTAAACTTAGGAGATAATATAATCAATTAATCAATACTGTTTAGGAAATATATATATATAGGCTAAAAATTCGAATTAAATTTTTTTTTTAAACCCGTCCTGTGCTATAGCTGTAGGATTGAAGTAGAATAAACTTATCTAAATTAATTAGCAAACTGTAATAAAAGCAAGGCTATTCCTCTATAATACAGTAATTGCAAGCATGTATAAGAGGTTTAACATAATATCAAAACTAATACAATTAAAGAGAAAATTATACATATATAATGTATAATTAAAAATCTTTTCATATACCATCTCCGAGGAACAGAAAATCAATTAATACCATGGATTAAAAAAATTTTTAGTCAGTATTTTAATTAGTGTTTAAATTAGTATTTTCTAAACCTCTATTGCTTAAAAAACATAAATATCTGTAAAAGAAAAAAATCCTTAATCACAGAAATACCAAAATCAAAAGTAAAAAATTTTAAGTATTAAAAAAGTAGCTCACTTAATTTAGTTGATGTTAATTGATGGTAGATTAGTTTATTACCTTTGATAAGTCAATTAATCTGTGATCAATGCTACTTTTTCAATATTTAAAAATTTTTACTTTTGATTTTTGGTATTTTTGCAATTAAGGAGTTTTCTATACAGATTTTTATGTTTTTAAAGCAAGAGAGGTTTAGAAAATACTAATTAAAATATTGACTAAAAATTTTGTAATTCATGGTTTTAATTGAATTTTTGTTCCTTGGAGATGATATATGAAAAGTTTTCTAATTATACATTATTGGTTTATTACTTTGCAGCTTTAGCACAGGTCATAGGCATTTTAATTTACCCATAGTTACTTTTATTTAGAATATATATATATATTTAATGTGATCTTTAACTCTTTGAAATCCAGACCCTTCGCTAAGCTGTATCCTCAAAATACCCGAACCACCCGAAATACTTTTCCAGTTTCACAGCAATTTCCTCCCCTCCCTGTCCATTAACGCAGAAAATAGGTGTGAAGATTTCAAATAACATCCTTTGTACTTTCTAACAAAGATTCCATTAGCCTTTGACCCCGTTCTTTATAAAACTATTTTGAAGGTCAGATCAACAAGCCTTTCCGGCTTTGTTATGATCACGACTGAGATTTTGTTTATTTCCGTTATTTTTATAGGAAAGAATAAATTGTTTAAAAATACGCATAATCCTTAAATTTTTAAACTGCTCTTTTATTGCTGTTTAAACCTTAAAAGGGCAATGTACCACAAAAGAATCAACAACGAAATGTCACGATCAGCCAGCAGATAAAAAAACCTCTTAGGACAAGTTGTCTCCAGTAAACTGATACAATGCATTTGGGGAAAGTGCACCTGCTACTGCATACCTTGGGGAAGGAAGAAAAGAAGATTACAATCTCAGGCGTTTCTGGTTGTTTCAATGTAGGGCCATGTTGAGTGAATTGGATGTGAAGGAGTTAAAAATAATTCATAAAAATTTAAACAGTTTATCCCAATATCGGCAAAGTGAAAAGGAACTGCAATTTTTTAAATACCATTATATAAACATCTCAAATATATTTTTAAAAGGACAATAATTAAACTAGTTACCATGCAATATGGTTATAACGGTTTACAATAAACTGTGGTTTAATTCTCCATTGCAAAAGTTTTTGATGGCATTCTATTAAAAATCATGATGGAAATTGAAGTAACAAGTTTTTTAAATTCAAAAGATAATATGTTTGCAATAAATATATGCAAATTAGAAAATTATGTTAAAAAAAGGTTATCTATACCTTTGCGCATGTGTCAACGCGGTGCATGCGCAGAAAGTTTTTAGCTTTGAGGTCCGGATTATGGGTGTTCAAATTAACGACTTTTGACTGTATACTTAAGAAACAAACCATACTATTGCTAAAAATGAATGCATTATTTGTGCCTGAACTGCATAAAATAATGGTACCCTTAAAATGCAAAAGCATACCTCTTTAATAAAAATTAGAACTTGTAAAGCATTCAAAACCATTTACTTGCTAATTACAACATTTCTCAGTTTTCAGTAAAAATGAGATAAGTTTGGATTTAAGAAATAACTTTGAAATACTTACAACTGTTTTCAATCCAATAGAACTAGAAAGACGCATTCCAAAACGGGATGATTTTTTTACAACTGAATGCATACTGAACTTGGAAATCTTCCCAGACAGACTTGTATCATTTTGTTTACGATACTTGAAAACTTTTGGGAATATAATACAACATATCATTAGACAAGATTCCTTATAAATTTTATCTTATGTTTACAGCCCAGAAAGTTACATTAGTTTCTATATAAAAAAGGAATAAGTCGTATATAATTACACTACTTCTGTATTTATGCATAAAGAACAGAACACAGCTTTTCACACAAATGAATAGCCACTTGCCTTGAAGACATTCAAAGAAAAATGTCAACACCTATATAATTTAAATAATTAAAATATGTCTACTTTTATAATTTTTCAAATGCAACCCAAAACTTCCTTTGCTCATGTTATACTCTATCAGATCAATAAATAACCCAGCCTTTTCTATTCTAACTAATTTTAAAATGAACATAATTATTAAATTCTCTTTTAATATTTAAAATGTTCAAAGCTTATTATACTTAACAGAATGAAATAATAATAACCTGATGCTAAGACTATAATATTAGAAAATAATATAGTAAATCTCTTTTAAATTAGTTACATTTATAAAAATATTGTTTAATAAGTACCTAAATCTTTTCTGCGCTTGAATTCATTAATGGCAGTAGCTACATCTGTCATAAGACTAATTGCTTGCACAAGGCACTGCTTATCAGGATGACTATCATCGGTACACTGGAAAAGATAAAACATTCAGTCATGCATCATTATGTCTAACCTTATCATGATGCATGCTAAGTTTTGCCACACGAATATTTGCATGTTATATTTATTACAACACATGACCTCCATTATAAAGCACATTTCTGTAACATTTAAATTTCTTCTTAAACTTAAATACTTTTTGTTTAGTTTCACTGTTTACTTATGAATTTAGTTGACTTAATTAAATGAATATAATCCACTTTCCTGTTATACTTACTACAACACATGCCTTCCATTATAAAGCATATTTCCGTAAGATTTAAATTTCTTCTTAAACTTGGATACCTTTTGTTTAGCTTCATTGTTTACTTATGAACTTAATTGACTTAATTAGATTAATATAATCCACTTTCTGCATAAAACATAAGTAACAGTTTTATTTAATAAATAAATAAAAAGCTTTGATCAAAATATTTAAAAAATAGTGTAAACAATAAATTGGCCATCTATTTGATGCACACGTTAATGCACTTCACAATTTTGTTTATCACGAGGTAATCAGTTCAGTTACTGAAAGATTTCAGTTTCTTCCAAAATGCCCCCAATACTTTTAGGTCCTGGTAATATCTTTGCAGCACTTTTTTCTTTCCAAAAGCATTCCATATTTGTTTTACTCCACATTATTACACTCCCTTTAAAAAAAAAAAAAAAACTTAATTTCAAACAGGCAAAGTGTTTGTATGCATATCATAGTATGCATTATCATCATTAGTAAGGTATGAGTACATAGACAAGTGATCGCCAAATCATTGATCACGAGCTAGATTGCATTAATGCTTGGGTTGGCTAACCTTGATTCATCTATTGAGCTGGTGACAACTGCTTGTTTTTCCTGCTCAACTGCCAATGCCAGCCTCATCTCATAGTTGATTGTATACGTGTGAGGTTGTGGATGTTATGTTTTTCGTGTGTATATTAGACATCTGCTAACTTGAATAGTTTGATTTACAAATTGGTGCTAAGCTAGGTCTGTTCTACTGATGATGTATTCAAGTAAAAAATAAACAACTTATCACTTTCATTTGGAACGGGAAACTGATTATTTCTTTACAGAGGTAAAGAACAAATATGTGTTTACTGTGCTATGCAAGTGTATCAGTTGGGAAGAAAGGGAAAATCGAACATCACTTCAAAATCATTCAGGCAGGAATTGAAAATAATTTCTCACTGAAATCTGCTTTAAGAAAAGAAAAGTTAAAGCAGCTAAAATCTGAACTTAATGCTCAACAATCAACCTTTTTAAAACCATTAAAGAAGAATAAAGCAGCAATTAAAGCTTCATTCCGAATTTCAAATAATATTGCGCAGAACAAGAAACCATGCGAAGATGGTAAAATTATCAAAACTGCATTTTTAGAAGCTGCAGATGTATTATTTGATAGTTTCAAAAATAAAACTGAAATAATGACTGTTACTAAATCTGTGGAGCTTTCTGCAAATACAGTAATGAGAAGGGTTGAGGTTACGAGGTCTGACTTTATTTCACTTAAAACTGACTTTGATCTTGTTGCTGGAACTATGAGAAAAAATATCATCCAAGATGAATACAAACACTTTGCCTGTTTGAAACTAACCCTTGAGAAGCAAGGGTCTTCAATGCCTCCTTACAACTGCAAATAATACATTGAAATTACTTCAGATTAGAGAAGTGAATTTAAAGGCTTCTAAGATTTCAAAAGGATTTCAATTGTTACATAGTTTGTCAAATTGCCTTTTATAGAGATTGATGCTGAACATTTCTCTACTTATGCCAAGGGGTATTTTGAGTTTCAAGAGGACAATGCTACAGTGGAGTTGGAAGTGAGTGATTTTCAAAATGATTTATTTTTTTTCAAGCTCTGAAAATATTTGTCCTCTAGTTCTTAAAGAAAAATACTCAATTTCAATCTAGGTTTTTCTCAAAGTGAAGGCAATGTTCAGCTGTACATATCTATGTAAGATTTCTTTTTCCAATATGCAATTTATTAAAAATAAGTACAGAAACACACTCATTCATGAACACTTGGACAACTGTATTTGAATGGTAGCTACTACCTACTCTCCTAACTTTAAAAAACTTGTTGATGGAAAAAAAAAAAAAAAAAAAAAAAGAGAGAGAGAGAGAGAGAGAGTGTGTTTCATCTTTCTCATTAAAATTAATAAGTCTGATTTAAAAAAAAAAAAAAAAACTATTATTACATTTGTTATTTATTATTAACTACACTTCAATTTCTTTCTTATGTATAACTCAATTTCAGTTTCTTTTTGTTACATACAGATAAATCAAAATTGCTTTCAAATTTACTACAAATGTAAGTTTATAGGCAATAAACAAACGTAAGACTTTTTAAAAAAGATTGTAGCTCATAGCAGGATTTAAAAACGATAGGGTAGTTCGGAAGCTTCACAAGTTTAGCGCCCACCGATATAGACTGTTCACTATAATAATTATTTCATCTACAATTTATTGCTGAAGTTTTCAACACTCAACAAAATAATTATTCTCCTTTCTTCCATCATTAGTATCTCCCTTCGATAGATGATTAGTTTAAACTTATGTTAATGATAAAACAAAATAACCTAAAAAAGAAAATATAAGCACTTGCAGATACAGCAGAGTAGATATACCCATCATTGTATATCATAATTGCAAATGACTGTTTCGAGATACTGACTGATCAATAACAATTGTAGGCGAGGTTAAAATGAATGAGCAAAAGTACTCTTGACACATTTTGCATTCTAAAATTAAGATTAGAGAGAAAAAGTGTGTATGTTGATTTGTTTCTAATATTAGCATTATGAAAGGTTAAATTATAAAAAAAATATGCAATATAATATTTGAATGGCATACAAAAGACTTTACACCTTAACAGAAAATTTATTTATAATCTACTATAACATGATTCATGACTAATTTATAAAAAGTTGATTCTCCCATTAACTCAATTAATATATAACAAACTCAATTAAATATATCAGCATTTTTATCTAAATGCAAAAGATTTACTTCTCATTTCATAATGCAATGTTTCAAAATTATATTACATTTGATGCTTGCTGTAAGAAATCTCAGGTTACCAAAAGAAATTGAAGTTTTAATTTTTATCTATCCAAAATTTTAAGTAATTTAATATCTCAATGAATTAAGAAAAACAGTAAGTTAAAAACTTATGCTACATGGAAGAAGATACAGAGTTAAGTGCAACTTGATTACTCACCTTTAGTAATTCATTTAAAAGAAGAGGGTATTTTAAAATTCTTTGCACAGGCTTAATTAGCATTGAAGGAAGATCAAAACAATTAGTTTGCTCCTTCACGACTTCTAGTTTATGTTTTAAATATTGCCCAGCAGCTGAGTCATTATCAATCTATAAAAATAAAAGTTGTGGAACAACACAGTGGAAAAAATGTTTTTTCATGTTTATACAAAAAAAAAAAAAAAAAAAAAAAAAAAAAAAGAATTTAGGATTCATAATTTCATAATTTATCCATTATGAATTTCGAATAAAATCATCTTATACAAAAAATATGTTTTACATCAAATGTTCATTTAAAATAAGATATTTTTAAAACAGATATTTTCATCTTAAAATATTACTTTTGCTGTACTCTAACAATTATACTTTGCAATAATTCATAATGAATTTAATAATAAATTTCTTCAACTTTACTAAACATCATTCATCTCACAAAATTATATTTTACTGTAAAAGTGAGATAAAGTTTAAATTTTCTCAAATACACATCTTAAAAAGTTTATTAAATATAAAGCGTCATCTCGCAAAATAAATTTAATGTAAAAGTGAGAAAAATTTTTAATTTTCTCAAATTCACATACTAAAAAGTTTTTGAATCTTGAATTTTTCACACAAGAATAATAACATGAAAAAAGAAACACTATATAGCACTAAATCTTTAATTAAAACAAAATTTGAAATTTGAGTTTAATTATGATTAGCTTTAAGGATACAGTTTTAAAAAATACATATATATTTATTATTATATAAACAAAATTCAACAAAAGAAGTACATAATTTTAATTTAAAAATCTTAAGCTTCATTTGCTCAAAATAATTGTATAAAAAGTATTACACTAACAAATATTTTGTATTTTTGCTAAATATTTTTAAAGCAAGTTTAATGAGTTGAACATTTGCTTAGATTAAGAAAAGCACTAAAACATGGAATGCTAAATTCTTTTCAGAGAAATAAAGAACATAACACTTTGCTCCATCATGAGGTGATATTAGTGATGCAAGATCAAGTGAAATTACAACAATCAGATTCTTCTTTATTATTATTGCTTCTGTTGAATATCAATAATGCTGATCTTCCTGCAATTTTCAGTTAAAACATATATGAAATTTTTAGATTAGGGTTAGAAGGATTCAAATTTTTTTAATCTCAAAACTTTAAGATTTGTGGAATTCAAAGTTTTGAAGGTTCTATTTCTGTTTTAAAGCAAATGCCAAAATTATCTTTTTAATATAATGAAATAATTGAATGAAAATGATACTCATAATTTTTTTATGTTTTTACTTGTACAAATACCATATAAAAAGTAATAAGACTGTAGAGTAAACATAACAACATTTTGTTTTTTCGTTTATTAAATTTCATTCACTTTTGTTCAACATTAAGACATTCACTCATTTTTAAAAAATCAAAGAATAATAAGTTCCTTGTGGTATTTAAGTTTCCCAATGTTAAAATTTGTGTTACGTAAAAAATGTTTTAAAGACAATTCTTATTTGATGAAAGACAAAATTCAGTTATGATCTTATTACAAGGTAGGAGAAAGGACATAGAGTAAGTTTTTCAAATAATGTATTTTACATTTAAAAACTAAAAATATCTCACTGAATTGAAACTTATATGTTCGGAAGATTAATCTGCTATAGCTAGAATTAGATCATGCACAAGAAACACAGGTAAGCTGCTTCAGATGTTCTTGCAAATTTTAATTTCTGAGGGTAGCAGGTTAGGTGCCTCAAAAGGTTGTTACCAAACTTAACATGCTGGTTTGTCATACCATGACAAAAAAGATTTGCATAGAACTTGCACCCAAAAATGCGAATGGCAACCACTAAAGAGCAATAATCACAGGCTTATGAAAAAGTAGCAAGTGTGATGATTTCAGGCAAAGACATTGCAGGTGAAAGATAAATTTGGTTTACTAACTCAGTTCTTCAGGAACATTTTGTGTGATATATTGTGGAAAACGTGTTGCTGGATCGGATAGTTGATGTCCCAGCACCAGATGGTGAAACATCTGGTTTCAGCATAATGGAGCACCTGCATATTTTAGCAGCATTGAGCACATAATACTTAATAGGACAAATATTGATCTCTGGATTGACAGGGGCCGACCAGTCCGATGGGTACCGCTATCCTCCAACTTCGACTCCTCTGGATTTCTACCTGTGCAGATACAAAGTCCATGATATTTGAGATGACAGGGACATCGGGCATGGATCTCGTTAGCAGGATTGAGCAAGCAGCGATACATGTTCGTGACAAACCTGCCCATTTTGAATGCATCCCTGAATCCATCGGTCGACATTGTGAAGCATACATGTGGAAGGAATTTGAACATTTGCGATTTAAGCATGTTCTTTAACCTTTTGAAGATGGAATAGCCATTATAGTGGCCATAGAGTCCTCTCTTTGAAAAGACGGGGTTGTCCACTTTAGTGGATATGTCTTTTTTCCCCATTTTCCAGGCGGAAAAGTGGGCTGAAATGTCAAATTTGACGTCCCTAGGGTTTTAACCACTTATCTCTTTCAAAGGTCTTCCTTCTGCGAAATAGATGCACCCCTCTGAGAATCCATTAAATTACACACAAGAATTTTTGTTGCAAATAGGAGGTGATTTCTTAAAGGGGAAAAAGCATTTGGTTCAAGATTCCCCGTCCTTTGGTAGCTTTTACTGCTACCAAAGCCCTGGCCTCAAAAGGTTAATAAAAGTCATATTAACACCTCTTTTGACATCCTTTCTTTTTCCTTCCCATGTGCTTGCAAAATTGCCCTCTAGCAGTTAAATGTTGTGTAGCAAATTTAATATAATTAAGTGATTCAAAAAATCAAAATTTTAATTTGTAATTATTCAAAATTTGAGCTACACAACACAGTAGCTGTTCACATTTTCGGATGCAAGTTCATACGTCAATTTTGTTTGTCATGGTATGATAGAGAAGCATGTTAAGTTTGGAAATAATATTTTGAGACACCCTGTAGAGAGTATCAAATGCACTAATCACCTAAGGAACTGAAAACATTACAGCCAGGGCTGGTCACAGCCATTCATTTTATTCATTTCCATTTTTTTTTTCCCTAATATAATATCTATCTCTAACCTTCAGAAAATCTCTCATGTATATAACTGTAACTTTTATTTAGTAATAAATGCATAATGATTTATATTATTATACACTTAAAAATAAAGGAAAATAATTGTAAGTGTACATTAAATTTAGTAGTGAATGAAGATTGAGAAACTAGAAAAAGGATATCTGTTGCATATGAGCAAGAGCTTTATGAGTCAAAAGGCAAACATTTTTTGAATTTCCAGTACATGTGACTAAGAAATTATGCTATTATTATGCATTTATTACGTCAGACATCTGGAAAGGATGCTGTGAAAAAATTCACTATGAGAGATCTCAGCTTTTGTGATAAACTCTGCAGTGGGCAACCACAGGTATAGGATAATGAGGCCCTGAAAGTAGCCATAGAAGAGGAAGTAGTCAAGCATGTTATGAACTTAAGGTTTCTGAGGAAAAAAATCAGACGACTTCACCAGTACTGCATATGAAACAAGTACAAACTGAGCAAGAGGGTACTGCATACATTGTCAGCAGCCAACAAGGAGTGAGAGACAGCCTGTTCATCACTGCTACCCTGGCACTACTACACATACACACATTTGGTCAAGTGTTCATGAGTGATGAAAAGAGGACTCAGTATGACACTCCCAAATTTACAAGACACTGGATGTCACCATGTGACCCTGTGCATTACACCTCAAGACCACTTATGCACCCATGTAAGATCATGCTGTGTTTGGTGAACTAATCTCCAAGTGGTGCATTATGAGCTATTATCACAAGGCCACACTATCACTGAGGACATGTACTCACAGCAGTTGCAACATGCATCATAGCAAAAAAAAAAAAGTAAGTGTTGATTAATCACAAAGATATGCTGCACCTTTACAACAACATGACACCAAAGATGGCAAGGACAGCCAGAGATACTATTAGCAATTTGGTTTGGAGCTATAGTGTTTTCTCGACCTAGAATTCACAAGTTACCACTTCTTCCATTCTCTGGACAAGTAAGTGCCTACTTGGGAAATCATTCGACAATGAAGCCGACCTGACAGACATGCTCATGGAATTCTTTACATCCAAGACTCACTTTTATCACCAAAGCATTTCTTGCTGGATGCTGAGAAATATGCTGGATGGAAATGGAGGTTACTTCAAGATCTAATTGCTCAGTAGCATGCACAGTATGTCTATTTTTAATTATTATGAATGGAAAGAACCTCTTTTGGTTACACTGTGTATATACATAATACACATATGTAGGAAAAGGAATTTAAAAAAATCTTTAAAATTTAAATGCTATCTAAACCAAAAGAATAACAGCGTTTTAGCAGCAAAATTAGATTGTAATTAAATTACATTAAATACTAAAATTAGTTTCTCCCAGAGTTTTATAAATATGCAACAGAAAAGTTGACAGTCAGTGAGAACAATTTTCAGAACTAAAGCAAAAATGAAGAAGTCAATGATAAACGGCCAAATCATTAGAACAGTCAAATAAAATCCTTTTTCCTCTTGACAGGTGGCTGTACAAATTTGGACTGCAGTAATGGTAATTCCCTCCCTTTTTTTCCAGTGACCTTGAAGGTAACTAGGTACATTTTCATTTATACTTTACATGATTTATTATTGTATATACATGCTTTGCTATTTTTCTCTCATTATTTGGTGTTCTTCAACTATATATTGTGTGAAAAGTTGTTTTGTGAAAAGTTGTTTAAACGGTTTTTGGTTATCCATTTAAAGAAATTTATTTGATTTATGTAGTTACATATTTTGTTAATTTTGCATCTTTTTTGGAGTTTACTTTCATTTCACATTTTGAGGAAAGTGCTTTATTTAATTTTTTGGTTGTTCAGACCCAATGGGAATAGTTTTAGCATTTTTATTTGAATTTAACAAGATCCAAACTTTTAGAAATAGAGTTAAACTTTATTTAACAGTATAAGTTTTCGTTTTCTATTTTTGCTTTTAATTACTTACTAAGGATTCCAAAAAACACAGGGCTATGTTTTTGATTTTTGAAAGAACCCTCAATTTCAACAATAAAGATCCAGGATTTTCAACTATAAAAAATGACAGAAACATTTTTGGAAGAATCCTTGATGCAACTTTTGAGAATATTCCCTGTTCCCTGATGAGTCTATTAAAAGAGTTTATAGAGGCTGCATCAATTTTTTCATTAAAATTTTACTTTTCAAAAGTTCACCTGAAATTGTCTTTTAACAGGATTTATTTCTTTTGAATTACATTATATTTGCCACATTTTTATGCATCAATGAATTTTGAAATATCCTGGAAAGTTGTTAGTTATTTACACACACACACATATATACATATATTAAATACAAAATTATAACCTTCCAAAGTATAGTTCCAGAGCATGGTGCACAAGATTTATGATGATATTTTTGTTTGCCTCCTGATTTATGCGGCCTATTTAGAAATGGTTTCAAATTTGTCTACAAAATCATTTATTGCAGTCTTAAAACTATTTATTTCTAGAAGAAGGAAATGTGCATCCACATTCAGCCACAATACTCAAAATTTTATTGGGAAATGAACTGAAGCGACTATATAATTTGGTGAATACTCTGATGAATTCTTAACCAAATATCTGACATCTCAAAGGATTCATTGTAAGTTTATCCCTCCTACAGCTCCTCAGTTTGCAGATATCTGGGATGCAGGTGTTAAGTCATTTATCTTAAACGTGTGGTTGGAAGGTTGATTTTTACATTTGAGGAGTTTCTCACAATTTTGAACCAGATTGAAGGAATTTTAAATTCACGTCCAGTATTCCGTGTCGAATGACACCAATGATTTAGAAGCACTTGCACACTCACTCTTTTTACTCAAGAGACCCCTAACATTTATAACTGAGCCTGATCTTACTGATTTTTCTGACAGCTCTTTAAAGCACTGGCAGCACACTACTAATGTGACCCAATACTTGTGGAAAAGATGGCAAAATGATTACATCAGTCATTTAAAGTAATGATTTAAGTGGTATTTTTCTAAGGATAATGTTAAAAAGGGCACTACAGTTTTAGTAAAGGAAGACAACAGGCCAATTTTAACTTGGTTACTAGGAAAAATCGAAGAACTAATTTATGGTAAGGATAAAAAAGTTAAGAGTCTGTATTGTAAAAACCAAGCCTGGTCTTTTAAAAAGGCCAATAACTAAATTAGCTGTACTACCAGTAGACATTACATAAGTTTAATCCAAGTCTGGTCTTTTAAAAAGGCCAATAACTAAATTAGCTGTACTACCAGTAGACATTACATTAGTTTAATATATATTTGATGAGCTTAAAAAATATTTATGTACTATTTTTGAATTCACATTTTGTGCATTTCAAGTTCTGTGTTTATTTATGTTTATTGCTTCATTCATGTGTATCAATTTAAAATTTTGTGATATATGATATGAACTATATTGTGTTTTAAAACTGTTAAATTTTGGTAATTTGTTAACTTAATAACAAATGCCCAACCTGGATGGTATGTTAATGCCAAAGCGAAGTGATGCCAAGATCCAATGTTTGAGTATTGTTTAACTGGAGGGATCTGGCAACTACAAGTAGAAAAAGAACAAGAAGGAAAAAAAGCTAGTTGCCATTGATTGAGTGTTCTGGTTATTCTGATTATGTAATATGTATTTTAAGGTGTGGACGGCAAGAGTGTCCATCTGAGTAGAATACGTTCAGCTCCTCATGTGTGTATGTAATTCTCTTAGCAGAAATAACATTAAAGAATTACAGTTCGCTAAGTTAAAGTGTGAATTTCATGAATATTAGTGTGATTCTAGAACAACACCATATCAATAAATTCTGAAAAGATACTTGAAAACCCTTAAATAATGATAATCATTATTAAGCCTTTTTGGTTGTTCAAATCAACACATTTATTTGATAACTTATTAATTTTTGTTGTACTCACACATTTAGTCATTCTTTTTCATCATTCATTAGAGTTTCTCATCTACACTTTTGGAGTTTACTGAAACTCCACATTTTGAAGTAGCGGTAAAGTGCTCTACTTTGTGCTTTTGTGTCTCTTCACTTGCTGAGAGATTAGCATAAGGAATGGTGTTATATAACTGTTTTGAATTAATTGTTTTTATTTTTTTCAGTTTGAAAATTACATAGCATCATAAAATTGATCTGTCCCAAAATTGAATTAAACCGGAAAGTTGAATTACTTTTTCCTCATTTCCCTGATGACAGCAAGGAGACTCACTAACCCCATCAAATTTAATTTTACAGTCGCACATCATTTCAAGAATTCTACTAAATAACATCTTCACATATACTGATCCAAATTGCATACAGGTAAATTTTTGAGTTCAAAGAATTGGAACCTAGAAATGTCAATCTAATAGTCTAAAAACACAACCAAAAATCTGTGCTTGCAGTGATATCTAGCATGGCCAAGTAGTAAATTCTTTCAATACATATCATTACAAATAGAAAGGAACAAATATGTTCATGTTTTGTGGGTTAATTATAGCAAATGTTTTGAGCCATCTTTAATTATTACCATTTTATTTCCATATTGTATGACAAATTTTAATTAATAATTTAAAGCAGTCTTAGTGCAATAAATACCTAAAACATTTGATCAATTTTCATTCACAGCTCAGATAACATTCAAAAGACATCTAATGTATCATTGTTGCAAAGATTGGTGGACACTAGAAAAACTCAAAGAAGGTAGACAGCCAAAAAGGTTACGAAAGTATAGCATAAAAAAAAAAAAAACAATATACTCATTTGCTAAACATATAAAAATTAACAGACTGTCTCATAAACTCACTTTATCAATAACAGATGTTACTTCATCATGATTCCTACAATAATGGCCATAAACTTCTTTCATCTCATCAGCCATATCCACAAAACATTCTCCTATAATAGGAATACAAATCACAATGTGCTCTCACTATATATCTCATTCATTAAAATCATAGTAAATTCTAAAATAAAATATATAGCCTTGGTTGGTACCTGCCAATACAGATAATTTGTTTTTAATTGAGGTGAACATATCCAAAATAATTTTACCATATTAAACTCACAGTTTCACTTTTTTTAGATAATGTATTAAATGCCTTATTATATATGAAACAATTTGAAAATCTATGATATGTGATCTAAAAAAAACTAGAAGGCTAGTATTTGAGATAATGAGAATTGCTTGCACATGCTCATTTTTTTCTGTGAATTTCTGTAAATGTATTAAATTAGGACAGCACAGATAAAAGATATCAGCATATAAATAAATATAAAAATTAATTCTTAAATAACTATTTTTTTCTACATAAAAAGAAAGTAAAGAACATTATTTTTAAATGCTTAACTATTTAAAAAACAATTACAAAATTTTTATTTACAAATAAGTGGGTAACTTTAATATTAACATAACTTTTCCTTCTACTTTCAATTTCTTTTTTCATTTGACTAACAAGTGTTTCATTCTTTTCTTTCTACAAAAACAGTAAATGTTTACTATATGAAGAACAAAACACTTTCTTTTCCTTTCAAATAAATAGAAAGTCAGCAAAGAAAACAGTCTCATTTTTTAGTAAATATGCATCATACAAAATGAAAAATATTCCTCTATACAGGTTGCATAAAAAGGATGGAATTAAATATTTTGTATACAGTATATATATATTTAAGCATTCATCAGCCATCAGCAAGTAGTTATGCTGATTCACTTGTAGGTGACCTGCCCATTTTTCCATCAAAGTTTATTACTGCATTGTATTGCAATTTTTTTAACTGAGTATTAATTTTTACATTGTTCTACGATACGAAAATCGGGCTTTGTTTTAAAACGAGTACATAATTATAAATTAAATAGAATTACATAAATATGTAACAGAAGTATTTGGGTTTTATACAGATTACCATAGTTTTATGAAAGACCTTCCAAGCAATAGAACTGTCAAATTTATATTGTGATACTCAAGCAAGAATTCCAAGAATCGGGCCCGTTTTCAATCATTTTGTGAAACAATTAATACTCCAAATATAGAACATTTGTTTTATAATATTTACCAAGAGCATTTTAAAAACTACAAAAACTTACCTTTTTAGAGAATTTACAATAGAATTCTAAAATATTTTCAAAATTTATGTTTTACAGTTGCTTAAATAATAATGTTGGTCAACATTTTATGATTCATGTTTTTCAAATTATGTTTCCCTTCATTTGTCACTGCTTTAATGCTTTTTCTCTAAAAAGGCTTTTCTATCATGATGCTTTTTTCTTCTTGAAGGGGGTAATATGTAAAATAAAAAAGTCAATCACTAAGAAAAATACTAACATAACCGGCAACAGACCTTTTAATTCCTAATTTTATTTCAACTCCCTTCAAAGATTCTGTCCTGCTCACTTATCCGCAGCCATCCGCTATGCAAAAGCTCTTGTTAATCACTATTCAGGGTTCAAACAAACATTTTCCAAGCTATAAATACTCCAGCTGTTTTTTCTTTCCATGCTTCCATGAACAACGCACGTCTTTTCACTTAGCTGTATCCTACATTATTTAAAATGTAAGCAGCTTGTGGGGTGCTTGTTACATTAATCAACAATATATCCTAAAAAATTAAAGATGTGATTGAAAAAGTGTATCAAGATTGTACAGGAATAAATTATGTGTTGAACTCGTTTGTCTGTGATTCCATCATTTTATCTATGCAATAGCTTCAAACTATCTGCTATCTTTATTCCACCACGACTGCTAAAGAACTGGTTTCATCTTCTGCCAAAATTATTACACACACACACACACACACACACACAGATATATGTAAGATAAAATAGTAACATTAATTTACAATAACCCCTTAACGCTCCTTTTTAATTTGGTTAGTTTGCCCTTCTATAAAATAAGAATGCTTATAATAAATTGCTCTAAATTGCATTATTTCAAAATTAATCCATATTATATGATTCTTACTAATAATGCTAATGATGTAGACACTTACAAAAAGTTTTAGCCAGTAGTAATTTCAAATTTGTAAATTAAAATTTAATATTAACCAATCAGATTAAAGCTAAACTGAAACCAAATCATTCGGAACTAAACATTTGACATACTACAGTCTCTCTATTCTGAATCCCATCTGCCATCTATTCTTCTGTTATTGTCTACTTTAATTATTTGAAATGCAGTTGTAACTGTAGAACAGATGGTCACCTGCCCTATGCTTGTACACTACAGTACTACATTTTATTTAATGAATTATGCAAAAAATAAGGAGGATCTCTGAAAAACTACGACAGGCCCTAATAAAACACAATTTTCATTAGCAAACATATGAAAACCATCACGTATCTACTTCTTTGTATATCATGTGTCTGCTTCCTTTTCTATATCGATGTCTGAAAATATTTCATCACACACACATACATATTATGTGATAAAAATTCTTAAATATATCTTTAAAATATACACTAGTAAACAAAACTGAAGGAACTTTGCAGATTTTAGCTATAATTCCACAAAAATTTAACTGGAAAACATGGAATTCATACTATGTAGTACTTAAAAGATGAGAAAAGTATAACAGGGAAAAAAAAAAAAAAAGAGGAGGACACGTGCAGTACAAAATGAACAGAAAAAAGCTGTATTGATAGAATGGCATTGGTACAAAAAAACTGTCTGGCCAAGACGAAGAACAATAAACCAAAGAGTCTTAGTATGGGATAGGACCTTCCCTAACTACTTTGGTTCTGTTGCATCATCTGTCAATACTCCACAATAGATTATCTAAGAGTTCTTGTAGTAAGAATTCCCATTCTTCAAGAAGCATCCATTTCAGTTGTCTGGTATTCTCTGGAGGGTAAGATTGCACTGCCAGGCATCTTCCCTAAGTATCCCATACATGTTCAATTGGATTTAAATCATGAAAGTATGCTGACCAAACAATTCTGTGGATACTTTTACTTTCCAGGAGATCCTCAACATCATGAGTACAGTGTAGCCATGCACTGTCATCCATAAAAGCAAAGTTGGTACAAATAGCACCCTGGAAAAGATGCACATGGGGAAAAATAACTCCATCACAGTACAGATCTCATGTAAGTGAACCTCTGTTGAAAATATGGAGCTCTGTCAGTACATTCAATCTAATGCCTTCTCATACAAGCATTAGAAGATCACCCCAATGGTCTCTTTACCTAATGTTAGTGAGACAAAAGTATATTTCTACCTTTCTCCATATCAAACGGTGTTGAGAAACATTTGTCAGAATCTCATCAATAAAGAGGACATGAGTCCACTGAAGAGGTGTCCAGTCTTTGTATTCTCTAAACCACCATAAAAGATGCCACCGATAGGCTGTTATCAATAGTATGCAGCATTCAGGACAGCAGGTATAGAGGTCACCTTTATTAAGTCATCTGGCTACAGTACACTGGAATACCTGTTGTCCGGTGACCATGCACAACTGCTCAGCAATGTTGCCTGTTGTCTGGTTTTGATCTCTTTTCAACCTGTAGGGCAATATCTTGCTCATCAGTCACCGTGGTTTTCCTTGACTGACTACCATCCTCCTTATAGCTCTACCTGTTATTTGAAAGGTACATATGAAACAATACTTTTAACAGTTCTAAACTCTTGGGCAATACATGCCAAACTACACTCCTCCTCAAGCTTGGCAATCATTCTACCATGCGTAAAGGCATCCTGATGTTTTCTTGCAGCCATACTGCACATACAATCTCACTTTCACTTGCAGAACAATGCTTGGAAATGCCTTGCATACTTCCTTCCCTTCATTTCTTCTTTTTAAGTTGCCTCATACTGCACCCATTGACTCCTCATGTTTTGCATGCTCTGATGTACCCTATCACATCATTGTGCTGATATTTAGAAGCGCATGACCTTTTTACTGAGTTGCCATTGTGCTGATTGTCAAAAGCCCTTCTCAACAATTTCATGGTTGCACAATGAAAAATGAATTCATTGCTAAGTTTTGAACACTAGTGTAGTTAAATTTGGATAATTATGGAGGGGGATCTACTAAAATATCTAGCAGAATTTAGAAATTGCATTTATTTGTCAGCTTTAGAACCAAACATATTAAATACAGAACAAAGTCCGAGATCCGGATATCCAATATCCAGAATGATCTAAAATTCTGACCTCAAAGCCACGAACAACTTTTCTTTTGTATGCTTTACGCATGTGCATTTGATTTCCAACCCCCACGCATAATAAAACATATCAGATTCTTAATTTTACTTCGGCTCTAAATAAAATACCTTGCTATTAATTTTAGCATAAATTTGTATCATCAATAATTTGGCTCCGAATATGCATATCTGCTTGGCATACATCTCCAACCGAAACATTCTACGTAGATACATCATTGATTTTACACCTTTTATTTTATATCTCTGGCGCCAACCTGGCGAATCATTTATTATATTTTGCTTTCATCACGCATGTTTATCAACACATGACAACTTGAGTAATGACTTATAATAGCGATGCCCCTACCTAAAGTTTTTTAATTTTTTAATTTAATTTTTTTTTTTTTTTGGTAATCAGAGTAAGTTTGTGGGTGGGTGTTGAGCAATGTAATGTCTCTTTAACTGAGTCATTCGATATAAACAAATGCACGTGTTCTGGCTGCATTGAGGTACTTTTTATTTTTATTTTTGCGATATAGCGGGATAGATGTTTTATCATTAGAGTTTTTTTTATTACTCTTGGATTATCCGGCATTGAGGTGAATATTTTGTGTCAGCGAAACATATTTTTTTTAGTGGCAAACGAAACTGAACCTAGAATATACAACACAAATGCTAATTCGTTAGTGTTGAGTAATGCAATGGCTCTTACTGCCTCATTTTATACTATAAACAATTGAACATGTTCTCGATGCTCTGGAATACTTTTTAATTTAATTTATTAAATTTTTTTATTTTTATTTTATATTTTTATCCCGTTATAGTGGAGTAGATGTTCTATCATTAGAGACTTTTTTATTACTCTTTGAGTTTTCCCGCATTGAGATGAATATTTTGTATCGCATTGAGATGAATATTTTGTATCGTTCATGAAAAGTTTTTTTTTTTTTTTTTTTAATGGCAAAACGAAAGCACTATCTAACTGAGAACAACATGCATAAATGCTAAATGAGTCAAATTTGCTGAGAAAATAAAGCCAGATATTATATTCCTGTGAATTCAAGATTTTGCATACACCAGTTTCAAAGAAATCATACACTTTTTTTGAATTGCTTCCTTGTGTTGCTGCATTGAATTTTTTGAAAGACATTTAATACTTTTTTTTTTAATTATGTGTTGTGTTAACTTGCGATTGTTGATATTTTCCCATACATACAGTCAAAAGTCATTAATTAGGACTCGTCGGGACTTCGGCGATTCCAGATTATCGATTTTTTCGGATTATAGATCATCAGTATAAATCTCGTAAGATGGCATGCAGAAATTATAAAATTAAAAATATGAAACCGTAATTTATAAAATAAAGAACAATTATGACCTAAAGAGTATCAAAATTTACAAAAAAAAAAAGCTTAATATTTATTTGTTTACTTTATTAAACATTTCTTTCAATGTAAGTTGTTGTTTAAGTTGCTTCGTTTTTTATGTGATAATACTTCTCTTTAATTCTATAAACAGACATAATTTCTTGTTCAGTTACAAAGTTCCCGTTCAAGTCCTATAATTGCTGTGTCGAGAATACCGACTAATTTGTCAATCGAAATTTTTTCGTTTTCAATAACCTCTGTCACTTTCTTCGCTATTGGAAGCGAATTATAAGACGAGGAATTTGATTTAAATCATATCAAACGGAGTACATCGAGATGAAATACTACATTTAGTAAGGAATTATAAGCCCAAATAAAATAAAAACATCTGCCCTGAAGATAAGGATAGTGCTGACAGATCAACTTCCAATTCATTGCGCACCCGGCGTTTAAAGATAAACAAAGTTTAGATAACAAACGTTTAAAGTTAGATAAACAAAGGATATGCCTTTATCCAATTTTTTGCAGCAATTCCACTTTTTGTTTAATGGACTTCGAAACATACTTTCGCTTTGTAGATCCTTTACATATTAGTAAATATATATCAGAAATTCTATTTGACATAATCGAAAGTTCAAGCTTACTTTTATAAAATTGCTCTAACAGTCTGCAAAAAATATAAGCCGATCCAATTCGAAGATTAAGGAACAACGCAATCTGCTGCAACATTAACTGAATTAGATCATTTTAGCTTAGCTTATACCGTCCGTTATACATTAGTAAACATATTTTGCGCATTAAGTGCATTCGTAAACATATTTTGCGCATGCGCACACGCATATTCGCAGCCGTAAAGGTCTTACGCGCATGCGTCAACGCGACGCATGCGCAGAAAGTTTGTAGCTTTGAGGTCCGGATTATAGATCATTCCGGATTATGGGTGTCCGAATTAACGACTTTTGACTGTATTTATTTGTGGGCTGAGGGGAAAATTATGTTATTCTAGAATGAATGTTTTATAAAATTTTTAAGGAAAATATAATAATAAAGCTTTAAAATTAATTCTGACAACTACCTGAATGTTCTTCTCATAATGTACCAAGAATTGGAACTACTGGATGAAAATTTTAATTTATACGAATTTTTTCCCAAAGTTAGGTTTAGCAGCGCGAATTGCCCATCCCCACAAGATGACGTATCCGGTTAACGCACATTCCCAAGACAATGTTTCGGTAACAGAGATGCCCGTTGTGAATGGGTTCAGTTAAATGCACTAAGAAATATTGAATATTTGGTTGGTTCTAGATCTATAAAATACCGCTACCGATAGTGAAGAATGTGATAGAGAGATTACTGAAAATGAAAAAATTTCGATTTCCTAGTTAGTCGGAATTCTCGACACAGCAATTACAGGACTTCAACAATGTAACTTAACCTTCTAAAACCGGGCTTAAATTCTCATAAAAAACCTTTAGGACAGCACGATCCAAAACACTTTTGCCCCTCTTTTACTGTTCTCTGGTCATTTGTCCCATCCATCAATGAAGTAAAATTTACATGTTTGTCGGACTCTGGACATTAGTCTATTTGCGACTTTTTCGAGGTTTATTTTGATTTAATTTAAGCTCTATAACATTTACTATTTCTGATCAATCTCAGTAATAATATGTGAATTTTATGTCTTTGTTTCTACTAGAAATTAGGAAACAAGAATAGAACTTCGCAAAATATAACAAATATGAAGTAGTTTTATGTGCCTATAGGTCAGAATGTAATATTTGATAATCTATTTTTATTAATAAAATAATAGTAATGAATAATTTAATGAATATGTAAGAATCTATTATCCTTCTTAGATGATTAGAATCATGGAGCTAAGAAGGAGGAGTGGCCAAATCGGCCTGAAGAGTGAAGCATCGCTCCGAACTTTCCGCCCCAGATGGGTGTGTTTGTATCAGAGCTCGCTTGACAGCCTCTGATAGTATTTCGTAAACTTGCAAAATGGGACCTCTGCATCCAGAACCTGGTGATGGATTAGCATTTACGTTAGTGACATTTACGCAAAATTCATCATGGTTATTTTTCGATAACTAACACAGCGATTTGATTATTTGTTTTATAAATTCTAAGTTGAAAAAAATTAGATTTAAAAAATTTATGCTTTAAGAATGAAAAATACCTCACCGTACCTTTAAAATTGTACATCTTTCGATACCCTTGATACAGTATTCGCTACTTTTATGTCCAAACCCAAATGTTTAATAAATAAATTTTTTCCCATCCACATATTAATGTAACTTTTTTTAAATTAGTGTAAATTATTTTACTTGAAAAATATATGTGAATCAACTAAAGATTTCACATGCCGGAAATGAAAAATGGTATTTATGACTGGTGCTCAAAAAAGCTGTATCTATTAACAAATACAGATATTTTTATTACTTATGTATTTAACGAAGGATTTATTCATTCATAAACAACTGTAAAGTTACTGTGAAAAAATCTAATTATTAAATGTATCAATTTATAATGATTATAAATCATCTAAATATATAATACCTTAACATTGATTGTAAACAATTAACATTTTTACATATCAAAACTATTAAGCAAGAATTGTTCGTACGAAAGCAATTTCAAAGTATGTAAGCAATTTCTATGAGCTGTACGAAAAGTAATAAAGAAAGAGGTTTGGATATTATTGTTTGAAATTAAGGTAAAAAAACTGATGTATAATTAAATAATTCTTCCCCTTACATTTTATAATAATGAACAAATGCATGCCAGGGCCTGCTCTGACCGGAACTGGACCACCTAGAGATTCTAAGATAAACGGTTACCTAAAAGGGGGCAAAGAAAGGCTGGTACAACAGTTGTACCATAGCCAGCTTAAAAGCAAGTAAATTTTGTGGTACTACAGTTGTACCGCCAGCTTTAGAAAGTTAACAAAAATTTTTGTCTGTCTACGGAATAAAAAAGAAAATTTAGCGGGGGGAAAAAAAAAAAAATGAAGCAACTTAAACAACACTTAGATTTAAAGAAATGTTTAATAAAGTAAATGAATAAATATTAAGCTTTTTTTGTTGTAAATTTTGTTACACTATAAATCATAAATGCTTCAATATTTCTTAAATCACCATTTCATATTTTTAATTTTATAATTTCTACATACCATCTTACTTGATTTAAACTGATGATCTAATATCCGGAGAAATCCCAAATCCGGAATCACGGATGTCTGAACGAGTCCGGATCTCAGACTTTGTACTGTAAGTTGATATGGCTCAAATTATCAAAACAATATGACACTTTTAATATACTAATATATCCCATTAATTAAAGTAGTAGGAAAGTAGTAGTAATACTGACCTATCATTTCTGAATTTTGGGAGTCCTTTTGTTTTTTCAGTCTCCTTAAAAGGCGATCAGCAACATCAATAACTTCATCCAAATTTCCAAATAAAGTGAAAACATTTATTCCTTTCTCCTTGGGCAAAAACCAATCAATAAAAATTAAATTCCACAAGTAAAAAGGTTATTTTAAAAAAACAACATTATGATTGAATGTAAGACAGAGATTTTATTTTGTTATCAAAAGCGTGGTTAAAAATTAATTAAATTAAATAAATCTCATTCTTTTCTTCTGGGAAATTTTTAGATCTATTTATTACTAAAAAACATTATGCAAAGTCTTCAGATAAAAATTATACTTAAGGTTGTGTAAAATATTATTTAAAATTGAGAACCTGGTTTAATATTTAAATGGCATTTCCAAACTGCGTTTTTATCTGTTAAAGCTAATAAATAATCTAGCAGATAAAAATCAACTGAATGCCATTTATTTCGAAAATCTCTCTTTTTGTTCAAGGACGATAGAATGGATTAGTGCCATCAACATTCTGCCAATTTTCTGTATTTATAATATGAATAAAGGAAAATATTTCTTAGAAAATTGTCAATGAAAGACCACCCAGAAAGAAAACAACTTTTAATAAAGTGTGTTAAACTACTGATATACTGTAAAGGCCCTTATTTTCGTGGGCTGTAATTTTCGCGAAAATGAATATATCGGTGATTTTGCGAGCTGAAAATTTCGCGAATTTTATATGAACAGAATAAAAGTTGAAAATTTTCAAAAGTACCTAAGTAAAGTTGAGAAAGTTGAAAAATTCCAAAAGTACATCTTTTGCATAAAGCATTTTAAGAAACTTCCTTTTGTCCGAAAAGTTCGTCCCCCCCCATTTCCGTCTAAACGGCGAGTTCAAGCATTTGCCAAGAAAGAGTTTATTGAGTGATATTTAATGGCTTCAATTCTAGAGGAAAAGAGACAACCGATTCACGTTCTTGGCTTGTGTGCGTATTTAACGGGATTGAAGCCAAACATGAGATAATTTGAGGCTTCAAAGAAGCTGGTATAAATAGTATTCTAAGTGAATGAGCTGCCTTCTGTTAATTTTATTGTTTTAAAGTTTTTAAGAAAAAGCTTGTAACTGTGCAATAAATCATTAAATTTCGGGTAAGTGAAAAATTTCTGATTTTTTATTATTATTTGAGGGGGGGAAAAAAAGTATTTCGCAAGGCTTAAATTTTCGCGATTACTACGAGCTCGCGAAAATAAGGGCCTTTACAGTATTAGTTTCTTTTTAAAGAAACTTTCCTTTCTATAATAAGTAGTATTAACAGATAAAATATTTAAAAAAATTATAACATTCTTCTATACCTCTGAGTTTCTATTAAATTTATATAGTGCTGTAAAATAATTAGAATCCATAGAAGGTATACACAGAAAAATTTGCAAAAATTGTCGCATAATAAGTAAAATGATTTTGCACTTCATCTATACTTTCTAATTGTCTAACATAGGGTTCAGCAAAATTTTTCGAGAAAGGGCAGATTGTAAAAATTTTAGTCTTGGTGGGCGAAGTAGCAAACATATGAAGATATGAATGGGTAATTTTCTCATACAGCTAGCCCCCTCCCCAAAGTTCATTTAGGTGATTCTTTTATATAATATTTATATATATTTCACTGACACTTACCCCTCTCTAAAAAAAGAATAAAGGATTTATATTTACATATTAAAAACAATATTTAACAGATTACAATTTTTAATGTCAAGAACGTATCTTTTTTTTTTTTTCCCTGAGATAATATTTAAACATACTGGAGTTTAAAATTAATACTTCCTACCACCAAAGTTGTTTGCAAATGGTCATCTTCTAAAAATGATCTGAATTGCGATTTCATATACTTCATTTTTGAAAATGTCTTTTCGCATTGGTAGTAACAGCAGGAACTTAGGAACAGCATTATATCCTTTAGCCACATATTTAGTTTCCAGATTTTCTCCTTTACTTTCTAACAATATTTACAGGGTAAAAAATTCTTATTAGTTGTTGATAAACTGAAAGATTTTTCTCCCCTGCATTCCATTATGTTTTTTTTTTTTTTTTTTTTTTTTTTTTTTAATGTTAAATCACTGTTTACTGATGTTAGAGTCGAAGGAGCACTAAATTGTCTTGAAACTAGGCTTCGAAAATTCCATTTCACACATACTGAAACTGAAGGGTTAATTTCCCTTATTAAAATCTCTTTAGGTCAAACACACTTCGTCCTCCAAAATGAATATTATTGCCAAATTGACGGATTAGCTTTAGGTAATCCCCTCAGTCCTGTATTTTCTGACATCTATGTGCACCATTTTTGAGGCCAATTTATTTGAGAAGGTATCTTTTCATCTCTGGAGTCGTTACACAGATGACACTTCCACGTTTTTGATGCTAATAAAGAAGATTTATCCATCATTTTATCTAGTATGAATTAAATTAATCCAACCATCTGGTCCACTTTTGAAATTGAATCTGACAATTCCCCTCCCATCTTTGAAATTCAAACAATGAATTTGATTTCAGTACTACTGTTTACTGTAAACCCTTTTCCATTTGTTTACCGTCCCACGCTGAGTCATGTCATCAGGCTAAGCAAAAAATGGTTTCTTTTTAACTTTTATGTATTTTGCACTCTCACAGTTTGTTCCTCAGAAACTTTGCTTGTTAATGAACTCAATTTCCCGAGATCAAGTCTCAAGATCTGGTCAATCCTTGATCAGTGGCAATTGACCAAGGATTTTCTCCCATGGTCATTGATTTAAAGCCTTTAAAAACTTTCAGCTTACCATCAGAGAAGACATTCTGCTATTGGAACTACCATTAATAACCTTGCGATGTTTCCATTTCATCCTTCTGCCAGTTATAAAATTGCATACATTCTCCACAAGTTCAATTTTCAATTCTTTTTCTTGCCTATCAATAAAATCCATGGTTCAACTCTTAAAGATTCCATTTCTGACTTTAATTCCTGAAGAATGTACAGTATATTGTGTCAGTGTGCTTTGAGACATATCGGCCAAACTAAAAGGGCTTTCAATATTCACGTCAAGGAACATGAAACTTATGTCTGAAAAGGCAAAACTGACAAGTTTTCAATAGCTAGTCATTGTTGGAAATATAATCATAATTTTCACTTTGTAAAAATTATTCAAAAAGCTTCTTCAATTGGTGACTTGGAATTTCTTGAAGCCATTCACAAAGATTTATCTTGTTTAGCTAATGACTTGGAGTCCTTCTTAACGCTTTTAACCCTTTGCGGCACAGTGTGTCTGGTCGGGATACACCTAAAAATTTCCTTCTGTACGCACAGAAAAACTGAATGAAAACGGATTTATAGGTTACTATAGGTTACTCTGAATCTTCTTTATTTATAGTAGATGGCAACTCAACACAAACCAGTCCATATATTTTAGCCATGTTTAGTTTTTTAAGACCATGTTTATTTTTTTTAAAAAACCATTTTTTTTTAGCCATGTTTATTTTTTAAAGAAATCTTCCAGATTTTTTTTAGGGTATAAAAGGAATTGTTTGAAAAGAAATTTCTATGTTACTTTTTTGGCTGTATGCCAATCTCCTTGTTCTATATTAGTTTTAAATTTTTACCTTGAAATCTTGCCTAAAATCACTTTTGAAACTGAATCTCTTTAGGCAAACTGAATGGCAAACCCTAGACTCACTGATAATCTAGGACAACTGAGAGTCTGTATTCTTTGTTTCTCCGCATCTCATCAGTCAGTTCATTGACAACAATGCTAGTTTCAGCACTCTTTTCGAAGCTCTATTCAATCAATGTGCCACTTTGGGCACACCCACAGAATTAAAACAATAAGTGCTATCTTCACAAAATTTTACTTGTGCACTCCTCTAGGCCTAACTAGACTACCTACTGGAAAGGGTTAAAACCCAATGAACTTAATTTTTTTAATTTGGTTACTATTTTTGCTGCCAGATTGTGATACATTCTCGTTCTGTGGAGTATAAATATGACTGTTGCCCCCACTGCTTTCCAATCTTGCAGATTACTTTGCTGTACCTTTTTAAGGGACTTGTACCTTTTTGCTCTCGAAATCGATTGAAATCTTGACTAAATCTATCCTAAACTCAGGGTTGTTGAGTTACGAATTTTACAACTCTCTTGTAACTGCTTCAAAATTTCTTTGAGCTGACTATGACAGAAAATGATCTTCAAATGCATTTTTTTACTCTTGGCCACCCTTGACCAAGCTTTCTAGTAACCAGTTCACTGCTTACAAAGTGGTTCCAAGTTCTTGTATGAAAATATGATGAATATTCAGATCTTGTTTTTCAAAGATTTCTTTATTTAGCAAAGATTAAATTTCTGTTTTATCTACATAACTTTCCATTTTAAGATACTGTGTACTGATAGCCAAAATTGGTATCTTTTTTTTTACCCTTTTCATTATTTCGTATTTTTGTTATGTAAAATAATTTACTTAATGATTTTCTAAATAATGCCATGTTTCATTATTTTTAACAATTTTTTAACTGTCTATCTTTTATAACTTATATCATATCTATTTAAATTTTTCCTATTACAGGTAGACCTCCTACAACACGGCATCCTATAACACGATTCATAAATTGCGATAACCCTCCTACAACACGGTTTTCCTATAACATGGTTTTGCTCTAACATGATAAAATTGCCCAAGCAATCCGAAGAAATTTAACGAACTCCGCACAAAATTTTTCCATATTGTGCAAAGCACTCATATAGTAATTTAACACATAAGAATCCTTGTTTCGTAAATTCAGCCAGTTATTCCAAGATCTGGTAGTCGTAAGAACAAATGTCCACAGATGAACAAATGTCCACAGATGAACAAATGTCCTCAGATAACAATGAAGAAACTTTACTATTGCAGAAGGTGAACAACATGAAGTCACAATAAGTGCTCTAAAACGCACAACCTGCACATTTGGTTTCCAAAATTTGAATCCTCGTCTTCATGGCTGAAAACAAAAGTGTCTCGCACTGCTAGTCAGCAGTCTGCGTCGAGCCACGGCTTGTTAAAGAATAAATTTTTCGTCTTTAAGACATTAATTTTCAGTCCCCAGACATGTCCAAAAAGTTAAAAAAAAAAAAAAAAAAAAAAAAAAAAAAAAAAAAAACAAAGAAAGTTTAAAAGGAAATTCATTTTTTTAGAAGTACAGATATAAATCTTGGACCGTCTTTTTAAAGGAGAAAAGGCATCTCACATTGGGAAAAGTTTTAATTGGAATGAAGAAACAGTTTGGACTATTAAGAAAAATGAAAAAGAAATAAGAAGTGCAGTTTCTGTAGGATCTTTGACATTCGCCAAATGTGTAGTTTGCCTCTGCAGGCGCCAGTAATTGAGAAGATTGAAAAGGCATTCAGCATTTGGATTGATGACAGCTGTCAAAAAAATTTTTGTTAGCACTCAAAATTTTTAAGCATAAGAAAGAACATGGAGAACCTTCTGTAAACCCAGATTTTCTGGTAAGTAAATGTTGGTTTGAAAATTTCAAAAAGTGCTTTGCAATTCATAACATAAGAATTCAAGGAAAATCTGCATCAGCTGATTATGAAGCTGCTAGGACATTTCCTGAAAAATTTCAAACTATTACAAAACAAGGATACACAGCAGTTCAAGTTTTCGATGCTGACAAAACTGGGCTTTGGTGGAACAAAAATGCCTAGTAGAATCTTTATATCGAAAAAAGAAAAAAAAAAAAAAAAAAAAACTGCATCATGACTTAAGGTCTAAAAATTGTCTAACGCTATTTAGTATAACATTGGACTTCAAAATGTTAACAAATCCCTTGTTAATTTTTATATCTTTAAATCCACTTGCACTTAAAGGAGAAAATAAAAACAACTTACCAGTATATTGGAAAGCAAATCCAAGAGCTTGGGTAGTTGGGAATATATTTAAAGACTGGTTTTTAAACTGCTTTTTGCCAGACACTGAACGTTAATTAAGGCAGAAAAATTTGAGCTTCAAGGAGCCTTATTACTATTAGATAATGCTCCATGTCACCCACAAGATTTGAATCATCTCAATGTCAAACTACTGTTCCTACCACCTAACACTACTTCGTTACTCCAAACATTAGATCAAGGTATTATTTATACCTTTAAAACATATTACATGAGAAGAGCATTAAAGTAGATTTTAGACATAACCGATTCAAAATCGATTAATGTAATGGAAGCTCGGAAGACATTTTCAATCAAGAACTGAATTGACATCATATCTTTGTTGCTGAAAGAACTGAAAGCAAAAACGTTAAATGCATGTTAGAAGAAGATATGACCCTCTTCAGTTGAAATATTAAATGTGTGTGAATCGTCAGAAAATGAAATGAGTGGCATATTAGAACTTGCTAAATCAATCAGAGGCAAAGGTTTTGTGAAAATGGCTATTGAGGACGTTCGAGATTTATTAGCAGAACAAGAAATTGACGAAGATTTGATAAAAATGGCATTGGAAGCTGTAAATCAAATCGATTCTGAGGACACTACCACTGATGGAGATTGTGAACATTAAAAAAATTAAAAGAAGGCCTACGCTTAGCTGAAAATCTCAAGTTATTTTTTTTTTTTTTAGTGCAGACCCTTCCGCTGAAATAAGCCAAAAATCCAAAAGGGAGTTGCGTAACTGTCTCTCTTTTAGCTCTATACCAAGAAATTTTAAATGACCTGGTAAGAACTACTAAGCAAAATAAAATTACAAATTTTTAAAAGAGAGAAGAAAGTGCCGGAACTTTAAACAAAGAAAGAAATTCTGACTGTAAAAGCAATCTCATTCCACCAAAAGAACGTTCTCTGTTGATTATACTGAGCAATGGCAACAAAAAAATTTATTAAGCTAAAGTTGCGTTAAATTAAAATAAGTAATAATTTTTGTTTTGTGTTGTACATACATATATATTTTAATAAAAATTAAGTTGTTTATGGATTATTAAAAAAATTTGTGTTCAATAAGTTTTAGGAACGTAACCCCCTTTTTATACTGCCTCTGGGTCTCATACAACACGGTTTCACACAACACAGCATTTTCTAGGAACCTATCTACCGTGTTATACGAGGGTTACATGTATATATTTATATATGAGCAGATTCATACTTTTTTAAGAAATGTTAACAGCAGGAGTTGGAAGACCCTTACGTAAGTAAGAATCAGATTTGATTAAAAATTTATGTAAATAATCAATTAAGAGAAAATTCCTTCATTATTAATAAGCAAGAAAGCTATCAACATAAAATTAGGTACATATTTATAAAATTTGAAAATTATGACAGTTTTTCTGGGAGGGAGCGGGAGTTCTAAAACTCATTCTTTCTATGTTCTCAAAGATCAAAGAGTTACACTAAAGAAAGTCACTTACTTTTGCTTCATTAGAGTTCTTTAAAAATGTACTTTGCAGCAATTTCAAATTTGAAATATAATCATTCTCTGTTTGCAAAATTTCAGTAATGATACATGATCTCTGATCTTTCATCTTTTCCCTACAAAGATTACAATATATCTAAAATTAATAACATCATGCAATAACTGTTCAGATAATAAGACTGCAATATCCACTTTTAATTAATTATTTATTTATTAAATGACACCATTAAAACGTTATTTTTAAGTTTGAATGTGCAATAAAATAGTGGGAAAATACACAATTAAAACAACAACCAATTCTAATGTTGCCATTTAAAAACTGTAGATCTCATACTAGATGACTACGAAAAATTATTTGAATGCTAATGTAAACAGTGGCTGTCCTAAGGGTCATGATTATATGCAGAACATTACTTTCGAAACTCAAAGAAATTATTTAAGATTAATGTTAAATATAGAGAATTAAAAGCTGCAGTTTTGTTAATATAAAATCATTATACAGAAATACAGTGGATGGACAAAAATATGGAAACACCTTGTTAAATGCATGTTTGAAAAGAAAGATTGATTTTAATGAAATATGTAGGTGGCGCTGGCGTTTTTGACTACTGACGCCACCTATACAATTTCGTAAATGTGCTAAACAGTTCAGTTGTTGTCGGAGTACTGTTATGTGAGGTTGTCATTGCATTATGTCAGAGTTAACAGACTTCAAACATGGGCAAATTGTTGGAGCATGTATGGTAGGTGCTTCCGTAAGCAAGGTAGCCGAGGTGTTTAGTGTTTCAAGAGGTACTGTATCGAAGATTTGTTCCGCATATTTGAAAAGCGGAAAAACATCATCTGCTAAATCACAGCGCGGACGAAAGTGTGTCCTGAGTGATCATGATAGACGATCATAAGGGCAATTGTGACGAAAAATAAGAAGACCACAGCTGCAAAAGTTACTGCTGAAATGAATGTTGTGTTACCTAACCCTGTGCATACCAAAACAATTAGAAGGGAGCTTCATAAACAGGGAATTGCTGGCCGTGCTGCAATTGAGAAGCCACTCATCAGTGATGCTAATGCCCGTAACAGGAAAAGGTGGTGTTTAAGTCATAAAGCCTGGACTATAGAGCAGTGGAAGCGAGTAATATGGTCTGACGAGTCTTCTTTCACATTGTTTCCCCACTTCTGGCCGTCTGGAGAACGCCATCTCAAGCCTATAATACAGACTGCTTGTTGCCAAGAGTGAAACATGGCGGGGGTTCTGTTATGGTTTGGGCAGCCATATCGTGGTTCTCTGCTAGCCCCATGATAAGTGTGTCAGGGCACATGACTGCCAAGACTTATGTGAACATTTTGGCCGATCAAGTTCATCTCATGGTACAAACTTTGTTCCCTGATGGTGATGGTGTCTTCCAAGACGACAAAGCCCCTGTTCACACAGCTCACATTGTCCAGGACTGGTTTTCTGAGCACGAGGATGAGTTGTCCCATCTCCCTTGGCCACCACAGTCACCAGACCTGAATCTTATCGAACCTTTGTGGTCTACATTGGAACAGAAAGAGCATTCTCGTTATCCACCGCCAACATCGTCATCTGAACTTGCCACCATTTTGCAGGAAGAATGGTATAATATTCCCTTGGTAAACATACAGGAACTGTACTTATCCATTCCGAGAAGACTGCAAGCTGTCTTGGATGTCAACGGGTTTCCTACACCATATTAAGCAAAGAAACATGTTTTTTTAAAGGTGTTTCCATATTTTTGTCCAACCCCTGTAGATAGTTAATACACAACATTTAGTGCACATTTTAACTAAACCAGACACAATAAAAAGTGTAAGTAGACAGCAAATTTTTAGATTTGGAAACCATTTTAATTTTAAAACCACCCATTTACATCAAAATTTACACTTAAGCCAAAATTTACTTAAAATACACATTTCTGGGAACTCCATAAATGTTTCTTATAAACAAAGATATATATGATATCAGGTTCTTAAAATTACTTTTGTTTTACAGCACATCATTAAAGCACTATTACACATATAAATATTAATAAAAATATCTGATGTGGCCCCCATGACTTCCTTGTATGGCCTTTAAATTATACCAGTTTTTTGTTGCATTTCATTTAAACATCTTTTCTCAAATTTCATTAGAGATATATTTTTCATTCAATTAATTCAGTTCTCCCTTTGAGTCAAGGCAAAAATTCTTAAACACTCAAAACATCTTCATTAAATATTGCAAAATACTGAAAAACATAAAACACTAAATACACGTAAAAACAGTTAAAAGAACAATTTTCACAAATAAAATTTGGATTTCTACCAAAACAAGAAATTCATCCAGCAGGCATGAAGGCAAAATTTTCAGCACACAAAATTGAAAATTAACTTTTGGTCCCATTGGGGGAAAGACACTGAAGTTGCTACACTGACTGAAACTCACTATTTCTATTAAGAGTTTCAAATATAAAGAAATAGTTGCCTCGTGGTAGGCCTAGCACCATGTAAACTTTTAAATTGTTGATAATTCTACAAATATTGCACACAAATTAACTAAAGGCATAAAAACAATGTAATGCAATGACTTTCAAAGTAAAATATGCACAATTTATTATCACACAAAAATAAATAAAAAAAAACTGACCTCACTAAGCTGGGTAACAGAGTATAACTGAGCTGGGTAATATGCATATATATGTAATAAAAACAAACTTAGAAGTAATCCACAATAAATATGAAACTGGCAGCAAAGCCAGATCTTCATTTTTATTTCAATTGATATTTGTAGCCAAAATGTACTTGGCACTCTAATTGTGCCTATTCAAGAACATTTACTATTTCGATACTGTTGTAATGGGAAGAGAGCACGACGAAATACCGTCACAAGAACATAAGCAGAAGTTAAAACGTGCATTCATCCAATACGGAAGCTCACCAATAAAAGGTTTTGGTTTAGGTTAAAAAGGTTTCAGTTCTCAAAATTTTGAGTTAAGTTTCAAATTAGCTATGCCATCAGCATTATGCAAGGGATGTGACACAGATTAATTTAGAAATGACATAGCCCAAAAATGTATTAATTTTAATATTCAGAAAGGAAATATTGAAATTAAAATTCAGGAACAAAGAGGTATACATATATATAATTACAGAACAACTTTTTTAAAAACAAAATGTAAACATGCTTAGAATTTTCGTGCATTAAGCTGCTGAAAAATTATTAAAGACATAAAGTGAGAAATTTAGAACTAATTTTTCAAAAAGACCGAAAATTGAAATTCATAATTAATAAATTTCAAATAATCCTGTAAATGCAACAAAAAATTTTTAAAATGTTAAAACCAAAACTTTTTAAACAAGCAAAACCCCATTAAAAAATTAATCAAGTTTAAAGAAAAATGAACAAAACAGAAGAGGAATTCAACCAATTTCAATAACACTTAATCGGGGGGGGGGGTTTGAAATCAGTTGACATCTCTCTTCTACAAAAATCCTTACTTTTCTGTACCCAGAATTATCCAATGAACTGTTTCAATGTATTTTAATTACAATAGTTCACCCGGAAATCCTGGCCCTTTCCCAAAGCAAGGAAAAAATGAAGTAAATTCTAATTAGAATCTTGTACCGTTAATAAAGAGAATTCTATTTTATTTAAAGAATTGAAGAAATGTAAGTGAAATAATAAAATAACTTCAGTGAAAAAAATTTAAATCAAAATTTTTACCTTTAAACATATAGCATATAAATCTAAAGAATTTAAAACGTTAATGAAATTATAAAACATAGTTGAAAAGACCTAATTAAAACTCACAAGAAGTAATTAAAAACTTCGAGCGCTCTCATTAGACACTAATCGAAACTATGAGATTCATTACAGTAGTGACATACATGTTTCATTGGTGAAATTAAAAGACCTTGGCTAGAAAGTAATCACTCGAAAGGCTAAAATTTGGAACAAAAGATGGAATTTTGAAACCAAAATAAAAACTTTTAAATATGTCAATGAAAATTATTTTAGATAAAGAAAAAGGATTACTTTATTAATTGAATAAAATCATTTTATTTTTGACAAAGAAAAAGATTAGTTTATTGATAGAATAAAATTATTTCATTTTAGACAAAGTAAAAGATTATTAATAGAGCATAGTAACATAGAAAAATCTCGAATCCGGGAGAACAGATGAATTTAGGGAGAGAGCACCAAATCTAGAATGTTAATTTTGAGGTCACCAATTATTTTGTAAAAACAACTATCATATTTTGTTATATCTTGCACATATATACGAGGGCCATCCAGGAAGTAGATTACGTTTCCGTCTGTGTCCGCTAGGGGCGGGGCTAGCGCGGCCATCTTGGGGTCAGAGCGTTGCGCAGCTCAGTCTGCATCTAGCCGTGCTAGTGAGAGGTTCGTGCTGTGCTCCATTCAGATACTGTGACGGTTTGAAATGTCTGCGTTAATTGAAAATCCCGCGAGCTGCGAGGTGCGCTCAGTAATAAGGTTTCTGACTGCAAAAAAACTGTAAACCGATAGAAATCTATCGGCAGCTTCGTGAAGTGTATGGGGACAACATTATCACTGAAGGTGGAGTGCGTCAGTGGGTCATAAGATTTCAAAATGGGGCCGAACCAATGTTCACGACGAAGACGAAGATCGAAGTGGGAGACCCAGCATAGTGACCGCCGAACTTCTCGAAAAAGTCGATGCTAAAGTCCGTGAAAATCGAAAATTTCACAATAACGGAACTTTCTTTGAGTTTTCCACAAATTTCGCGAAGTTTTGTTGCACGAAATCATCAGCGAAAAGCTTGGTTACCACAAGTTTTGTGCAAGATGGATTCCAAAAATCTTGACAGAGGACCACAAAAATCAGCGAATGGCTGCAGCGTTGAACTTTTTGGATGCTTACCATAAGGATGGTGACTCTTTACTCGATCGCATCGTTACTGGTGACGAAACATGGGTGAAACATGTGAACTGTGAAACGAAATTGCAATCAATGCAGTGGGGGCACACAAGTTCTCCCCAAAAACCCAAGAAATGCATGCAAACAATGTCGGCAAGGAAGAAGATGATGGCGACTGTTTTTTGGGACAGAAAAGAGAAAAGGTGTAATTTTGGTGGACTTCCTGGAAAGAGGCACTACAATAAACTCTCAAAGGTATTGCCAAACTCTCCAAAAACTCAGAAGAGCAATTCAAAACAAAGCGCAGAGGCAGAGGAATGTTGAGCTCTAAGATCTTGTTGATTCACGATTCACGACAACGCCCGGCCCCACACGGCAAATGTCACTCGTAAGTTCTTGAATCTTTTAAGTGGGAGTTGTTTCCTCATCCGCCGTACAGTCCCGACCTGGCACCGAGCGACTTCCACCTATTCCCAGCAATGAAGAAGTGGCTGGCTATGCAGCGTTTTGATGACGACGCACAGCTGCAAGAAGAGGTAACGAAGTGGTTGAAGGCGCAGGCGGCCGAATTTTTCGACGAAGGAATTTCCAAGCTCGTACATCGCTACGATAAATGCCTTAATTTGTATGGTGACTATGTAGAAAAGTAGTATTTGAGTGTGGCTTTCATCTGTATATAATAAAATTTGTTTCCTATACTTTGTTTATTTTTTTATTCCAAAACGTAATCTACTTTCTGGATAGCCCTCGTATATAAATACATTTGGTGAGACCAACTGAAATGAAAAAGGGAGGTGAACAACTACATTACAGGCCCATATACAAAATCAAACATTCTATGCCTACATTTTTTAGTTATGTGAGATTAACTCTCGCCGAGATATATACATATACACATATAGATGTCATGAAAAAAATCTCTTCTAAATTCTGACTTTAATATCCACTTTGGAAAAAAAAAGTCCTTTATTCTGTCCATACCTACAGATGTCAAACATCGTTCAAATAGATTTCAGATTAGTCAGAATGAATATTTTCATTGAAATATCATACCCAAAATTTTTCATGATTACAATACTTTCTTTACTTCATACAAGGAAGTAACAGCAAAATTTAAGTCATAGAAGAATAAAGTCTTTTTCAAATGCATAAATTATGAAAATATTCTATAAATCTAAAAAAGAAAAAGCTACTCAAGTCACATTTTTAATATAAGGGTACTGTCAAAGCTTTATAAACACATCCTATAAAAAAATTGTTTATGATTTCTTACTATAAATAAAATTATCATTGGAAACCTTAAATTGCGTATGACCAATTAGTTGTAAAACATACAATCTCTGAAATATTTTTATTAAATTAATAAATAATGTCTATCCATATTCTTTGCTTATAAAGAAATGTCTTTAACAAACTGCATTTAAGAATAAAACAAGGACTATTAATTATTATTAGTTTCTTGGCAGGTATAATTCCATTCACAGAGGGAAATAGGTTGTTGTTTGAAATAATAAATTAATTAACCTGATTCAGAAACAATATAAATATAAACACTCACATCAAATTACATGTGGTTTTCAAGATTAAAAAATATATAATAATTAAAAGTGTTAATTTGACATTGATAAAACCCTCAGAGAATACTCGATCATTATGTTTAACCAAAGAATATTTTGACCTGAAATACTGATTAAAAAACACATCAATTTATATTCATATATATGTGCTTTTCAAAGTAAAATAATTTAATTCATATATATGTAGTATTTGTTAAAATATTTCTAAATCAAGTGCTGAAATATACACGCTTCTCAGGAAATAAAATAATAATTATATGTAAATAATTACATTTTTGCTTGTGCTCTTCGTTCTTCCTCCTCTGCTTTCTTTCTAGCAACTTCTTCATCTCTCTGCTTACATTCATGAGCAGTCTTTCCACCAGTAGTTTCTTGCACTTTAAGTTCAGCTATTTTTAATTTAAAAAAAAAAAAAAAAAGGATAAGTATGCATACAAACTAAAAATACCCAGAGGAAAATAATTATACTATATCTAATAATGCTATGAAATTTGAATATAACTGGTAATAAAACTTGCATTCACGTGAGAATCAAACAATTAAACATGTAATCTATGCTATTAAAATCTGTGCACGTCTGCTTGTTTGTTTGTGGCATTATCTCCTCCAGAACAGCAAGGAGTTGAGTTTCAGGAGAGGTACCCCCTCGGATTCCAAAAATTTGTGGAAGCCATTTCGACCATTCACATCTTCGTATGACTTTAATCAGCTGAGATATTAAATAAGAACTAAGAAAATACAAATTTTTCACACTTATTTTTCCCAGTCGCAATAGTCTTGTGCACAGGAGATAAAAATTCACTTTATATTGAAAAGTGTTGCCACTGCTCGCTTTCAAATTGTAGAGTTTGTTAATAAAAAATTTTTAAGTTTTACAAAAGATGAAATAAAAATAGAATTGAAAAAAGTGAAACATAATTATTATAATATAAGGTCATATTCTGACGTTGAAGAAAACACACAATTGCATGTGACATCATTGTATGTCGAAAAGTTTTCCTTAATGTCAGCATTTTAAATAAATAGCTGCTGTTGCCAGCTTATTTGTTTCAGGTTAGGATAACTGGCACAATATGTTATTGCCACATTAATTCTTTAATTGTTATTAAGAAAAAGTTATATTACATTAAATTTAAGTCAAAAAGTCATACCTAACTTGAAGTGTAGAAAGTTTTTTTCCTGGTTTGTCAACATAAAAATTATTTATAAATAGGTTGTTGCTTAGAAAGAAAGAACTGATTTGATTCATATTGATATGTTTTTAGATATTTACTTTTCAGAGGTACATAGAACTTCTAAATTTTGCTTTGACTGCAGCCTGCTCATCTGCAAGCTTCTTTATTAGTAATATAATTATTTATTAAGGTTCAAAAGCTTCAGAATATTCCGAGTATTTCTCAAGAAGCTTAAAATAGGATATAAAATCATCAAAAGCAGAAAATTACCTAACATGAAAGAAAGGACAAATAAAAAAATGAAGCATAGAGTGGAAATTAATCCTGAAACTAAATTAAAACAGACACGAAAATAAAATAACAAAGTTGATAACTGTTTGGTTTTTGCCAAACAGCACTCAGAGAATTATCAACAGAGCTAAATTTCTGAATTATATTTAGAAGAATTTCAAAAATTATAGTAATCAACAACTAAATTGAAAATTATGTTTTTCTTTTTAAATTGAAAGAAATTTTTAAAAAAAGCATTGATCAAGATATAACCTGTCTCAGCAACACTCAAAAGAAAATGAATACCTTACATTTTACGACACAGTTCAATTTAAATGCACAGTAAAAGGAGTCAATATGTGGAGAAAGACAGTTATAATTATGAATTTAATAAGTAAAATTTCTTAGAAATTCTAAAGATTTTTTTTTTTTTTTCTTTTTGTAATGAAAAATAAAAACCAAAAAAACATTAACAGAGGTAAAATTGCTCATTAAATTGATAAGAAAATTAAGTTTTAAAACCAAGATAAAGGGAAAAATTGTCAAGCCATTACATCAATCAAAAATTTTACAATCCATGACTAATGTATATATTATTATATATTAGTGGAAAAGAAAATATTAAATTAAGAAAAGTATTATATATATAAATTAACAAGCAAGGTAGTTAGTTACAATAACGTAAGACCTTTTGTCTAAATAATGTTTTTGCGCAATATGCTGCAAATTTATAAGAGAAATTGTAGAAAGCTCGCCAAAAGTTACCAGAGCTGTGGCTCCAAGAAAAGTTCAACACATTTTTTAAAAAACAAAAACATGTCATTGAAGGGTGAAAAATATGCTACACGTTAAATTAAACACAGTAAAATACTAATCTTTGGAAACTAGTAACTGCAAAAATACAGTAAATACCAATCGATGTGACAAGTGTAAAGTTAAAACATAGAAAAACCAATCGATGGTACAAGTAAAACATAAAACTAATATAACATATAAAAAAATACAAAAATACAAAGCGGAAAATGGCAAATTAGCTTAATCCGAAGTTCAACCTGGCTTTTCAAGGGAAATTTCTAGCTGGACGTCGAATTAAGCTAACTCCATTACGCGTTTCGTCGAAACAGACAATTGAAACTTTTGCGTTACAAATTTTAACTAAATAGACTTATTGTCTTAGAAAATTTATTAGCCTCAATTCTCTGTTCCAATTTCCCTACGATGCGTCCGCACAAAATGACACATTAAGGTGTTAAAAGAACTAAAAACAGTTTCCGATTTACAAGAATTCAGAAAAATAAAAATAAATAGCTGTCTGCTATTAGTCAAAAAATACAATAACTTACGGGCTGGACCTGCTAGCTTAAATAATAATACCTTTATAAATTTTAGAAAACTGAAATTAAATTTAAACGAAAACAAACACAGTGGGTCTTGCTAAGACCAAGAAAAAATTTTTTGTAAAAGAAACTGAAAAAACAGACCTGTGGTTATGTAGAGTCCTCCATTGTGGAACAAGTTGAAAAGGGGTTGCAATTCCCCTCAGTGTCCTTTATCGCCATCCCACTCGTCGTGTGACGTAAGTAGCGGGGAACAATATCTCTGGGCAGTAGCCAATGCGATTAGACTGTCCGTTAGCTGTAACTCGTCCCTAATTTTCAAAGGGGGGTCGGGAGTCTCGGGAAGACGTGGAAAGATTACAAAATGGCGTCAGTCAGGTTGTTTGAAGAAAAAAATGCTTCAAGAAGTGAAAATGGCTAATTCAGCTAAAACTACTCAACTAGTTGAAAAGGGGTTGCAATTCCCCTCAGTGTCCTTTATCGCCATCCCACTCGTCATGTGACGTAAGTAGCGGGGAGCAATATCTCTGGGCAGTAGCCAATGCGATTAGACTGTCCGTTAGCTGTAACTCATCCCCAATTTTCAAAGGGGGGTCGGGAGTCTCGGGAAGACGTGGAAAGATTACAAAATGGCATCAGTCAGGTTGTTTGAAGAAAAAAATGCTTCAAGAAGTGAAAATGGCTAATTCAGCTAAAACTACTCAACATGGCCACAAAAGTAAGAGTAAAAAGGAAAAAACAGTCATTTGTTAATAAAAGTCGTAATTCTTCAAGCTAGAGGGCGATCAAGCTACGATGAAAAACGAAAAGGCTCGATTTGTTAATAAAAGTAGTAAAATTGGCCATTAAAGTAATTTAAAACTATTTAAACAATAGCACTAAAAGTATTGTGCCAAAATTTTTTGGAGGAAAGAAAATGTAGTGACAAGAATTATATGTACATTTTTACATTAGATTCTCTGAATCAGCCATCCACTTTATACCGTCCCTTTGGGCTTTAAGCATAAAATATCACTATCTAACTCAAAAAATCTAAAAATTGGTAAGGCTAATGCCAGCTTTTTTTAAGGCATTTGTAATTATTTTATGAGGAATGCGGTTATTTTTCAAGATAGTTATGAAGTATAGTATTTCTTCTTGAAGGTGTTTTGTAGTATTGCAAATGCTTTTTATTCTGAGTAGCTGTGAATAAATTGTGTTAAGGATGACTCTTTTGGAAATATTTGAATTCGAGTTGGTTAATTTTAGTGTTGAAAAATTAAATTCTCTTCTTTTGTCGTAAACTTTGATAAAATTGTAATCAATAATATGTAAATCAAGATACACTACACTATGTTGCACTGTATTGGTATTATTTAGTTTTAAGCATATAGGGTAAATATTAGCAACTTCTATTTTGTTATAGTTATTAAATGCAATGACATCATCAATATATCTATAGATGTGTTGGTAAAATTTATGTTCTTCTTTACTGGGTGAACGGACAAAGGTCAATTCTTTTGTAAAAAGGAATAATTCACAGACAGAACTGGAAAAATTACCTCCCATTGGAATTCCCTTTATTTGTTTCAAGATGCTATTGTTAAATTGAATAAAATTATTGAAAAGCACGCTGGAGAGGAAAAGTTGCCATTTTTCGTTGGTTATAATGGTAGAAATTTGCGGAAATAAATCTGGAAGATCAAGTAAGCTTGTAAATATTTCTTCTAGTGGTAAGGTAGTATAGAGGTTTTCAAAGTCGTAGCATTGGATATGGTCTATTTTGAGTAAATTTATAGTTTTCAGAATTAGTTCGTTACTTGAAATCATCCAGTTGCAATGCAGATTCTTAAAATCATAGTTATTAATAAGGTCACGTATTAGTAGAAGTTTTTGTGCAAAAAGAAAATCTATTTCTTTAAGATAACTTCTGGTACTATTAGCTATGAACCTGAATTTTATCGGAGGCTTATGAAATTTTGGTAGTGCATGGAGATTTGCAAACCTGTTTTTATATTTCTGGGGATGTATTTTAAGTCTTTTATGTAGTGCGTTAAATTTATTGAGAAGAATCTTAGTGCTGGTAGTAATTTTTTGGTAAGTGCATGTGGAATTTAACTCATTATGCAGAAGCTTGAAGTAAAACTCTTTACAAATAACACTAAAATTGATGCTGGCTTTGTCAATCTTTGTAATGATAAAGTTATCTTGCAGTTTTTGAATATGCAGAAGCTTGAAGTAAAACTGTTTACAAATAACACTAAAATTGATGCTGGCTTTGTCAATCTTTGTAATGATAAAGTTATCTTGCAGTTTTTGAATAAGATCCTCTAGATGCTTTTTATTGTGTAAAGAGTTGAAATAAGGTGACTTGAAAAGCAAATGTTGAAATTCTTTAATTAGTGCAGCTTTCCATTCAAGAAAAGTAGTGTAGTAGGTAATATTGGATTCTATTACTAGCTAATATGATAAATTTATCAAGATCATTGATTGAATTGTTGAGGCAAAAGTGTTTATTGATACTGAAAGTAGGACGAAATTTGGTTGCGAAGTTGTAATAAGGGCTCCGTAATTCTAAGTCTTCAATGATATTGAGATCTCCAGTAATAACATGTTGGTGGAAAGGATCGACATATTTATTGTAAGAGAGGTAGATTCGGCAATTACATATGCTATTTTCCTTGTATAAGGTGGTGGTTGATAACAAGTTGACCTAAGGTCTTTTCAAATTTAAAACAGGGTTTAATTTGAAGTTGTTGGTCAGGAAGCAAGTGTTGATACTTTTTAAATATGCTAGGTATTTTTAGCTGATCGTAAGAAGGGTGCTTGAACTGAATAGTGAAAAAAGTTTTTTGTGAAAAAAATTACTATTCTTAAGTTTAAAATTGCAAAAGTCAATAATCAGATCTTTGACTATTTGAAAACATTGAGAAGGTTGATTGATTATTTTAATCAGATTCCATAAGGTAGTATTCTTAAAGGTATGAAGAAGTTTTATGGCATTTTTAGCGAATTCTTTATGTTCAAGGTAGGAATTAAGATTTTTAATAATTGATTTGAGATCTTGTGTCGAAAGAAAATTTTTTTTTGCTTTTGGAATCACCTCCTCTCGATCCTCTGGTAGTAGTACTGCTAAAAAATCTGAATTTTCCATATATAGAGATTTTTGACTGTCTATTGGTGGTATTACTTAGATAGGCATTTAGTCCGTAAGGATAAAGTGACTTTTTTTGAAGTATGTAAATTGATTCCTTAAACAGTCTAAGTTTTGTGTTTGGTACAATATCAAGCACATTAATTTCTATGTTATCAAAATTATGTAAATGATAATGCTCAAGTATTGCTGTGTGCTGTCTATTTTTTGTGCTATTATTGTTGTTATTTTTAAATTTTTTGATATGAGATCTATGGTTATTAATTCTGAGGTTGAGAGGGTTTTTTATCTGACCAATATACGTGAGGGAACCTTCTTTACAGTTAATTTGGTAGATGCAATTGTAAGTCTTTCATAGTGATTGTGTTTAGAAGTAGAAGGAGGAGGAGTAGCATTAGCCTTACAGGTTTTACCAAAGCATGTTGCTTCGTATATACAGTCAAAAGTCGTTAATTCGGACACCCATAATCCGGAATGATCTATAATCCGGACCTCAAAGCTACAAACTTTCTGCGCATGCGTCGCGTTCACGGATGCGCACAGGCGTTTAAGACTGCGCGTAAGACCTTTACATCTGCGAATATGTTTGTGCGCATGCGCGATGTGCAACGGAGGTATAAGCTAAGCTAAAAATTCAGTTAATGTTGCAAATTGCGTTGTTCCTTAATCTTCGAATTCGATCCGGCTTATTATTTTTTGCAGACTGTTAGAGCAATTTCATAAAAGTAAGCTTGAACTTTCGATTATGTCAAATAGAATTTCCGATATATATTTACTAATATGTAATTTGTATCTACAAAGCGAAAGTATGTTTTGAAATCCAAAATCTGTTTATCAATTTCACGCGGATTGGAAGTTGATCTGTCAGCACTATCCTTATCTTCAGGGCAGATGGTTTATATTTTATTTGGCTTATAATTCCTTTATTAAGTGTAGTATTTCATCTCGATGTACTCCGTCTTTGATATGATTTAAATCAAGTTCCTGGTCATTATAATTCGCTTCCGAGTGAAGAAAGTGACCCAAAGGTTATTGAAAACGAAAACATTTCGATTGACAAATTAGTCGGTATTCTCAACACAGCAATTATAGGACTTCAACAGCGGAACTTTGTAACTAAACAAGAAATTATGTCTGTTTATAGAATTAAAGAGAAAGTATTATCACATAAAATGAAGCAACTTAAACAATTTACATTGAAAGAAATGTTTAATAAAATAAACAAATAAATATTAAGCTTTTTTTTTTTTTTTTTGTAAATTTTGATATTGTTTAGATCATAATTGCTCTTTATTTCATAAATTACGGTTTCATATTTTTAATTTTAGAATTTCTGCATGCCATCTTACGAGATTTAAACTGATGATCTATAATCCGGAAAAATCGATAATCCGGAATCGCCGAAGTCCCGACGAGTCCGGATTAACGACTTTTGACTGTATATATATATAAATTCTAGTACGAATGCTAAAAAAGCTGCTTAAATATTGTGGTTCTGCAAAAACTTAAACTTAAGCAAAATTAGCTGCAATGAAATGTGTTAAAAGAGAAAAATGTAACATTTGATTATTTACAAATAAAAATCAACAATAATAATAAGCTATATGCAAACCTAATTAAGATATATTTAAAACATAGTAAAAGTATTAACTAATTAATTCAGTTAAAAATAAAATTAAGAAGCAGTAAATGGTCAATTAGCTCATTTACTGCTTCTTAATTTTAAGGTCTTTTATTGTTTGTTCTTTCTACTTTACTTTAAATTATACATATATATATGTACTAGGATGACTTGGAGAAAGCTACAACAGATTGACGATGGTTCTTTATTATAATTTGGACAGGCTTTACTGCATATTGGAAGGATGGCACTAGAAGACAGATGATTCCACATATAATTTTATTATTCATTATTTATAGTATATATCGTATATAATTTTATTTCTGGATAATGAATTCTGAGGAAACATAGTACTTTTCATTTCACATCATCATTGTGGATCTGCTTATGCATTCCAAAATTTTATACAGATTACAGTTCTAAAACAATGGAAATTTTATACAATATACGCAGTTGATATGAGAAAGCAAATGAAGGGCTTCAGAGGCACAGCCTTGATGTTTCACTATGTCCTGTCATTTGGTTCATAAACGTTCTAATATTTAGATATATAAAAACCTAAAAAATATCCAACTTCAATATCAGAATATATAAAAAAAATGCAATTCGGAAATATGAAAACAAAAAATTCAAACTGACAGTCTCTAAAGTTCTTGAAAAGACAAAAAAAAAAAATTGTATTCAAGATGTCTTATGTTCAAGTTCTTAAAAAGATATCTTGATATCACCTCCAAAATTTTCACAGTTTGTTGTAAAAATTCAATCTTTTGTAAAAACTTAATGTTATTATCAATATAAAACTGTTTCAAAAACATAGATATGAAATTGCATTACATTTAATACATACCTACTCATAATAAAACAAAAATAGCTTCAAATTGAAGAGCAATGGATTAATTGATATACATAACAAACAATACACAATAGTAAACTTTGACACAAATGGGCATGTCCTCTACAATGCAAATCAGCATAATAAATTGTTGATGGCAGGGGAGATGCCCATATACAATTACATGTAAAAGCCTCTGTTCCTTAAAAAAGATAACTATTTTAATATTGTGTGACAAATCAAAGTTAAAATTTAATTTTATGGTCATGAAGATGCTTTTACATCGTACACTTGATATTGAAAAAACCTAAATACACAAAAATTAAAATTCAAGGTAGACAAATATCTTGTATGCTCAAGTTATGCCAAAGATATAATTATTATAACAATATTACCATATAATATTAAAATTTATAATAATAATACAAAATTAAATGTGTATTGTGCATGTGTGTGTGCAAGTGTGGCAGCACTTTGTGTGGAATAATGCTGAGGACATATGTTATTTTTCCTTTCACATCATCATTGCGGGTGCGCTACGCACGCCACGATTTTATACAGGTTACAGTTTTAGAACAAGGGACAATAATTGGCAGAGGCTAAGCTAGCAAAGTAGCGTCCTATCAGCAATACAGGTAAAAGAAAAAGTGCACAATTATCCAATATGGAGACTCACCAAAAAAAGGTTTTGGCTCAGGTTGCTTATTAAAAGAAAGGTTTCAGTTCTCAAAATTCAGAAGAATGTGACTAGTAAAAAAAATATACCTACTCAGTCAGTTTTCTAACCATAGCGATTCTCCTAAGTAAAAAGAAAAATTTAATTTGGGTATTAAGAGTATTCCTAATATGTAAACTCAATAAAACATACGTACATCTAAAAATTATAATTTAAACTAGCAATAGTCCTTAATTACCCCTCTTCTCCATTCTAAAAATAGTAATAATTTTTCTGGACTGCATCACTTCTAGATCTAGGCTATGTCACATGGTTTGCATAACGCTAATGGCATAGCTAATTTGGAACCTGAACTCAAAATTTTGAGAACTGAAGCCTTTCTCTTAATGAGCAACCTATAGAGGCGTTCGGTATTTTTTGGAAGCATGCAAGATGAAAAATTAGCAACAGCCTTTGCCTGGAATCGAACCACGGATCTCTGGAATACTTGCCCAGCGTGCAGAACCACTACACCATGAAGGCACGCTAAGAAAGAGGGAGGACTACCTTATATACTCCCCTTTTTTTAAAGGGCGACTGGGGTTTTTTAGGGGACCCAATCGGCAAATCCTGGATGTGCAGAATCCTCATCCAATGCCCTTTTAGTTCTGGCGCCACTGTAGAGACATTTAGGTATTTTTTTGAAGCAGGAAAGATGAAAAATTAGCAACCACCTTCGCCGGGAATCGAACCACGGACCTCTGTAATACTGGCCCAACGTGCAAAACCACTACACCATGAAGGGACGCTAGGAAAGCGGGAGAAATACCTTATATAACCTAAACAAAAACCTTCTCTTGGTGAGCCTCCATACTGAATAATTGTGCATTTTTGCTTATTGCTCTGTTGCCGCCAGGATGCTATTTCACGTGGTTAGTCTTTATCAGCTATTGTCTATTGTTCTGAAAATATAATCTGTATAAAATTGCAGGGTGCATAGCACACTCACAATGATTTGAAATGAAAAAGAATATGTGTCCTTGAATTTATTATCTAGGAATAAAATTATGCACCTATTAATTATCAACTTTATATTTGAGCAACAAATTAAATTTTTTTTTAAACTTAATAAGTTTCTGGAGAAATTTGGAAATTTAAATAATTAAAAAAGAATAATTTGAGTTTAAACACTATCAAAATAACTGGCAGTCAAGCATATTTTAAAGCTATCAGCATTTATACAAAATTGTAAATAATGAAATAATCATAAAATAAATACATTGCAGCAATTCAATTTCTTCTTTAAGTTGTTTAATGTCTTCATTAAGTTGGGCTAACTGTGTCTTAACTTCCTCTGAGATAAAGTTATTTGAATTTCGAAGGTTTTCATTTTCAAGCTTTTTTTTACAGGCTAGACGTATCTGAAATTACAAATTACTATTAGAAAATTTCATAAATATAACCCAATAAACAACAAATGAAAATGCAATTTATATATGGACATAACATCTGTAGTACTGTAAAAGAAATTTCAAATGTCAAGTAACAGATAAAAATGCAATTCATAAGTACATATATATAGTATGACCATTTAAAAAGAAAAATATATGGGGAATTGATACACAACTATTTTTAAAAGAGAAAATTGTAAGTACGTAAATTAACACCTGGTAATTTTTGAAAAATGCAAAAAGAAAATATAAACCTTTCAGTGTTAAACATGATACTATTTGCTTTCACAAAAACACACAGCAGACATTTAAAATACTTTATCATGTGTATGTACTTTAAATTGTTTAAACTGATTTAATTTTTTTAATAATTTACAAAAGAAATTAATATTCTTTGATAATGTATATCAGACATAAGAATATGCATACATAAAAATATATTAACTTTGAATAAACTTTGAAATACAGTAAGACCCCGCTTAACGCGGGGGATACGTTCCATCAAAGTAGAGCGTAATGCGAAACAGCGCTAAACGAGGCTATCTTTACATGTAAATATTGGGGTTAGGGGAAGATGGCTAGGAAATTGGTTAGGTATTAAATTTAAAAAGTATGTTTTTTTAATAAAAATAAAACCAAACATTTATTTCTTAAAGCCCAAATCAATACCCACATTATTATTTCTTGCAAAAATAAAAACAAAATATAAATAACAAAACGAATATTCTTAAAAAAAAAAACAAATAAAATTCTCAGTCAGTCATATTTAGTTAGCCTTCCGCATTTTCAGTGTTCTGCATTTTTGTGACAAAAGCATCTAATGTTGTTTGCCTTTTTCTTTTGCGATGTTCTCTTAAAAGTTCTTCATAAACGGATAGAGCATCTCTAACACCACGCCTTACTTTTGAGCTCCTGTCCAAATTCGGATCATTTACAATGAATTGATCCATTATTTCAGTTATGGTAGACAAACTCCATTTTACAAACGCCATCGAAAGTTTTTTTTGCTCTTCTTCTGAATCACTGCTGTCAACATTTTTGTTTTCTTCTTGTTCAGTTAATTCCTTGAGCTCATCATGGAAAGACTAGCCGCTGCTTCTTGAATTATTTCTTCGACATCTTCCACATTTACCCCTTCAAAATATGTCTGTACAATACCGCACCAAACAAGAAATACAAGTACACTCTTTCGGATATGTATTTGAAACCTATCGCTGCATAATATTTCGGGGAATCCCCGTATGCTGCGAGCAATTTCGTGGAATCCCCGGGTTGAAATAAAAGAGCGCTAAACCGAAACAGCGCTAAGCGGGGTCTTACTGTAACTATTATTTTGAGGACCGTATGCGGTCCTCAAAATAATTTTATGCTGGCTGCGAATACATTTTCCATAAATTTATTAGCATTATTATGACAAGAATTTAAAGAAAAGGTTTAAGATTTTAATGGTCTGAAGTCCAGTTTTACATTATATTCATTACCAAAAATGAATTTAACTCTTCAGAAAATCTAGAAATAGATTTAATTAAGTTACGCTGTGATATAAATCTTGTTCAGAGATTTTGAGATACAAAGTTGATTAACTTCTATTAGTACTTGTCAAAAGATAAATATTTTAAGTTACGAATTTTTGCAATAAAAATACTCCCTTTGTTTTTTTTGGAGATTTACATAGTTTTTTTTTTTTTTTTCCTGTAGTTTGAAATTAATAAGTCTACGAAAAGAACTACACTGACGATGAATATCTATAATTTGTGATGAAACCTTTTATTAATTTCCCTTGAAGATTACAAACTTCATGAAAATCGAAACATCATGAGGTGGCTTAGCTGAAAGGTGTAGTAAGAAATGAAAATGTTTGCAATAATTTACATACAAATATTATTTTTTCTTTTTGCATCATAGAAAAAATCTAATAAATAAAAGAAAAAGACAAGGTTGTCATTCTTTATTCTCCAGTCTTGTTCCTCTTGGAAAGCTTTAGTATATTTCTTTTTAGTTTCAATTAAAAGCAAATAACTTAGTTCAATATATTATTATTAGTTGAATAAATGCCAGTCTGAAAATTTTGATATTTAACTGTCAAATTTTAATATTCAGCTGTCTGTTTGAATTCCAAATTGTGAGCAACAGAAATGTCTTGCAGATACCAAATTTAGAATTCAGGCAAAATATAAATTTGATATTTTTCTTTGCATTATTTTTATTTGTATCCAGTAAAAAGTATTTACAAACAACTAGTAAAAAGTTTTTAATTAAAAAATTTTGTTTTGTTAATAAAATTAATCCTGCCCCCTTTTTTGCTACTCATCAGCTACTTTCAAATTGTGCATTGATTGGCTCATGTGCAATGTAAATTTGAGACCACTTTTGTAAAGTATCATTTACGTAATATGTCTTCTTGTGTTGTAATAAAGTGCCATAAAATTCATGGAAATGAGAAAAACAGTGATATTGTATTTCATATTTTTCTAAAGGGTAATTTGTCTTTTGGCAAAAAAAAATGAATACCTGTGTCGAAGACAGGATTCTATTAATGTAAAAAATGCAAGAATTTGCAGCGAACATTTTCTATGCAAGATTGTGAAGATAACATGAAAAATGGTTTGTTTGAATTGTCACAAAAGAAACATCTAAAATCCAATACTGTGTCAATAAATAAAAAAGATTAAGCAATTCTCTTTAGCAAAGTTGTTTTCTCAAAGACAAATGATCTTGTATTTATTTAAATGTAATGTTATGTAATGTACGTGTGTAAATGTCAGTTAGACAATTATTTTTATAATACCTATTGTAGTGGCAAATTGGAAGAGAAACATGCTAATGGTAAAATTTATAATTAGGTTAAAAAATCAATCATAGATTAGATTAAATTTTGAATAAAACTATTGATTTCAAGGTAAGTCAAACATATGTTCCTCTTCTTTAGCTGCAGGCATGAAAAAAAGAAAAAGACATATATATTCAAAAGTAAGCCTTTTTTTTTTTTTTTTTTTGCCTAAATTTAAAAAGCTGTTGTTATAGTCATAGAAAGAGTAACACAATTTTCCCACTTAGTATGCACTTGAAGAAAAGATAATGAATGCCATACTTTTTTTTTTTCATGATTTAATAATAAATGCAAAAATACTTACAACTTTTAAGAAAACATAGTTCATTTTATCTATTATTTTTATTAAAAAATAAGTGTTATTAACTTAGTAAGTGTTATTAAACGTTACAAATACTTACAGTAGTAACATCTTCTCTTCTAAATTAAAGCTATTTTTTTTTAAAAGTTTTTTTAAAAGCAAAGTTTTTAAAAGCAAAGTTTTTTTAAGCTGCTTTTTTTCCTCAAGTTTAAAATATTTATTTCTTTGCTGCAAATCATGTCTTTGCAGTCAGTGTTAACATGACTATGTCATCACTTCTCACTAACTGTTTTTGGGGCAGGAGCTCTATGAACTAGCCCTTCTCTTCTAAGTTTAGTTAATGGGAGCAAGAGAGTTGTGTGCATTATATTTTTCACTAATTCATGATCAGTTCTGAAACATTACTATTCTGTATCAGAGTCTTTATATCATCATTTTTTTTCCCTTTCTAGAACACTTCTTCCATAACTTTTGAAAATTTCAAACTTTTATAACAGACATATTTTTACATGTTAGAAAATTAATGTCCCATAAAAGAATATTTATTATATTACGTATCCCAATAAAATTTAAAAAATCAACTATTAAAATAAAATGCTGAAAAAATGTATAAAAACTTATGATACGGAAAAAATAAAAAATGATGCAATAGATTTCAATGATACAGTGACATCAAAACCTTGAAACTACATTTCCCAGCAGCAATGTTAAAGGAAGAAGTGATTTTGTTTAAGACCAACATACTTTTTCAAAAAACTTACAAAATCATTTAATTATTATTCTTTTATTATCATTCTTGTTTAACAAAGGGCAAAGAATTTGTTATTCAGTTTGAGAATTATTCAAAATTTTGAAAATTATTCATTTTCAGATGTTCAAATTTTAAAATTATACATGTCTAGTGGATGCAAAAAATCAAGAAATTTTCAAAAATGTGAAAAATTAAAAGTATTACACAAATTTCACAAAAAAAGATTGTTTCTTGCTCTATCTAACAGTGCAAAATGTAAATTTCAGTGGTTTTTCAGCTTGTTCATTAAACAAAGACATGTGCAAAAATCATTTCAACATTAAATTAAAAAAATAAATAAATTAAACTTTTAAAAATTGCTCCACAACATTGCAATGTCATCCACAAAATTTGAACTCAAAACTCATTCAGAATGCAGTAAGTTAAAAATTTATGATAAGCTTTTGACACTAGCGAAAAGAACCATGCATTAACTAAATAAAATCTTATAATAATATACTTATGTACATGCATTTGTTTCCTTTAAATGATTGATTAAAATTTTTTTTTTGAATTAAAAAATTCAGAGTCAGAATTTCTCAGAAATTTACAAATTTAACTGCAACTGAATATTTAGGGTATTTACGTATTTCGCGTTGACCTGAAAGTTGGCTACCATAGAATAGCAAAAGTTAGTGGAGATCCTGCCAAGGCTGTTGCCAATCATTCCTATGGATTTCTAAAGTAAATATGCCTCTTTATTAATAAACAAACAGTGTTTGACTGGCTTCAGTTCTGTGCTTGGTAAAAAGGCTTTTGCCTGTTTCTATTTCTCCCCTTTAGTTTTATTCGAAGCTCTGCTTAAAATGCTACGAGTATAAACTTCTCGTAGGTAATTGTTCTAATCTTTTATTGTTCTGTTAGCCATATGCAGCTAACAATATTGTGTCCATCAATACACATTTTTTATAGTAGGATATGATAACTTTGAAAATAATCATCTGTTTGTTATACAGTAGAGGCAGGTCACAAATTTTAATAGATTTTTTTAATGCAAGAAAAATGTATGGCAATAACAGCTATACCGACCTTCATAAAAACAATACATGGAGAACAATACATGAGAACAATTATCCAGAATTAATCACGTATACATCAGATGAAAGCACAGATATTGTAAATGTGTTCTTATTTTCCACTTAGCTGCTACTAAATTGTGCAGCTAGGTGACAGTTTCACAATCAATGGGAAAATAATTAAGCATCATTTTTAGTTTCAGGATTTATTCAAGGAAAATTGTTTTTAAATCTTTTAAGTAAAAAGTAGAATGTTTCATTAATTTAAATAGGAACCATCCATATAGCTGAAATACTGTACCTCTAGAGCTTTTTCTTTCTGCTGCAATGTATTTTTTATATCACTTTGATCAAAACCTAGGAAAAATGAAAAATCTTCATAACTGATCAAATGTAAATAAAAAAAAAATAAAATAAAGTCTTAAACAAGGGGAGGGGGAAAACTTAATTTTAATTGTTTAAATTTAGAAATATTCTAATTAAAACTTGCAGTAAAGACAAATTTTCAGTCTGCATATAAATTGTTGTGAAATGCCCAGCAGCTGCGCATTGAGATAGCTTCCCACAAAGTGGGTCGAAAACAAAGTTCCTCCAGCGAAGCCGGAAGAGAAGTTCGTCAGTTGAGTAGCAAGAATCAATGGAGGGCTTAGGGTTGCCAGAAATATACAGGGAAAGGCAAGGTTGACAGATTTGGCATGAAATTGACCATTTGGGGATATTTGGCAACATGTCATAGACGGAGCGAGAACATTCTAGAATGCACTTTTAGTGGTTTTCCTGGGAATATTTTCAAAAGTAGATTAAAGCCCTATATATCCTGCCTGCAGAATTGAAGACACTAATTTCTTCCCAGGATCTATATATCCTGGGAAGAAATTAGTGTCTTCAATTCCGAGATTAGCTTCAAAGCGAACAACCGAGTCAGGAGCCGTACCTTAGTGCTTTGCCATGAAGTTGTCTTCACTTTTATACCCTGAAGGTTGTGTTGCTGATTGTTTAAGCGTGTTTATCGTATTTTTTTCAACAAGCATAAATATGTCTTTGGAACTATCCTGTATAATAGGGCTTACTGGTGAATAAATTGTCTTTTGATTCTTCATCGGGTGTTATCATCAATTACTCCAAATCCATGAACCAGTAGAATGCAACAATTATAAGAGGGAAAGAGATAATCTTATTCAAGAATATAATTACTTTGTAAGAACAATAACAAGATTCCTTAATATACAGTTATCATAAGCAAGATATCACCATATCTGTTTGTACACCTTAACATGAAAGTAATTGTAATATAAAATACATAATTTATAAGTAAATAAGAAATCCAGAAATTGTTCTATTGAAAGCTTATATAGCCTGCTACACTATAAAGGGGATTTTCAATCAAATTAATATAAGGAAAAATTCCTAAACAGTAGACAGCACATTTAATAAAATTGCATAGAAACAGGTATTTACAAAATGGTATGATGTTATTAAACATATAACTAAAAAGAACATTCAGTGATTTCTGAGCATTATAAATGTCCCTTAAGTGAGCAATTATATTTTGTTCTTTAATAAAGTACATAAATTTTGACTAATTTTACTTGACATTAGAATGATTATCATCAATAGGGATGACAAATCAGTCCCTAAGTTCTACAAAAAGCTGCATTAACAACAGACAGCTGAAGAAATTTTGCCATTTTATGCAACAGCATATTTTTTTGCTTCATGCAACATCATATTTTGTTGTCCTCTTCCTTTAAAAAATATTTAAATTATTTTTTATAGACTCTGACAAGTACCAAGACTTCAAAATTACAGTATCCATTAATGGAAATTCATAAATTAACAAAAGTTTATCACAAACTATATTTTGTAAAGAAAGTAAAAATTGTTATCAACTTGCACACATTACATAAGTCTTGTCATATCATTTAGAGTGAAGAACTGCTTTACTGAAACATATAACAACAGTATCTTTTTAAAGGATTTTAAAATTTGCATTGTGTTTTAAAATAACTTCCTAAATTTCAGCTTTAAAATGTAAATCGGTTTTTTAAAACAAACCTGTTTCTTTCTCCTTTTATATTCATAAAATCACAAACAATATTAGTATAGTTAAATCCTGATAAATTTCACATTCCACTGAAATCAAGTAAACAACTTTCAAAAGAATTTCAACTGCTATAGGATCTGATAGGAGGTTAAGTTTGTTCATTGTTTATAACTTTTATATGTGAACACTCTTCAGTCTTCTGTAGCATTAGAAACAAAGTTTTGTATATGGGAAACTATTATAAATTTGGCAAAGAGTTTAATCATTGGTATCTGTGATCTAATCATCAGTATCTATGATAGCCATCTTGATGAGTAGGAGAAATTTAGTCATATTATCCTTATAACAAGATGACATACCATACATTAATTTTTTTTGTTTCAGGATATTATGCATACATATGAAAGTACAATATTAAATACAACATAATAAAACATAATTTAAAATAATTTTAGTTTTTAAAAATGTACAGAATGCTGACTTATTTTATGTAAAAATGTAATTAATGGCATCCAACAAAAAAGAAACTTAAATGGCAATTTTGTAACTTATTTTTCACATTATATTTCAATTTCATATAGTTTAAATTAATGCTGCCATCCTATGAAAGCTATTGTGGCACTGGATCAAAACACTTGATCTCTGACATTTAACATTTCATATAAACTAATAAGGTAAATATTAATTACACACATTAAGAATTTCAATGAAGTACTTACAATCAGTATCTGAGCTACTCTGACTTGACACTGATGTCACTGATAACCTAGTAGAGTTTGCAGATACACTAGAACTGTTTAACAAAGAGGTATTTGGGGACTGGGAGGCAATTGAAGGTGGAGGTGGCCTTGCAGGTGTATTGACAATGCTAGGTACTAAAAAAAAATATTTTTATTCAAAACAAATCTTCATTCCTTCTGATTAGTATAAAAAGCACAGTCTGGCAAACATGAATTTATTTTTCTTAGCTTATTAAATGAATTACTGATAATATTATTTCAATAACCATATCATAAAACAAAATAAAAATTTTAAGAAACATCTTGAATTTTTGAATTAAAAAGGGCTGATTGATACTTATGCATTATTAGTGCAACCAACTTGGTAATGTTTTCCAAATGTGCCCTATTCTGGAACCCCACCAAAACAGTTAGTTCTTCGGTCAACCAATTCTTCAATTTTAAGAAACAATGTCACCATTTTCATACGCATTCCTTTTGTTGCATTCCAAGTTGCAGTGGTTTTTGGACATAAATCATGATACTTTTTGCCTCAAATTTAATTTTAAAATATGTGCTTGAGAGATTTGCTCACAATGGCAGAAATAATAAGTATGATAAGTATTCTATTTAAACAAACTTGACGAACTATTATTTCATCTTGTCTAATTTTTGGCTTTCTTGGTCCATTATAATTAAAATTCTGAAAAATCAATAATACAGAGAAAATAATGTTTATTAAATTATTATTGCCAAAACATCTAGTAATATATTTTCTCCTTTTGGGATTATGTAATTATCAACACATTTATCTTAGAAAGTAACAATCCTTATTTTCTTGGTATGATCTGATCTATGTGCTTTGATAAAGAACCCGATTATCAAACAATCATGTTAGCTATGCAAGACATGATTTCCTTGTAAAATATTTTGGTATTTACATATTATCTCATTGATTGTAGAACTGCTTTCAAGCAATATGATTTAGCACCACTTATAGATAGGCATGATATCACACCACAATTGCACTTTCGTTTGATGTAACCCCCAACTGATCCTCAGTAAGCCATTGTTTCTTTTATTCAACAAGGATATAAATTAATTGTTACTGTTGTATTTTTTCCTTGTATTTTGAAAACAGTTATTAAAATTTGAGACCTTCAAAGTTATGGAATTGTACTATCCAAAAGAGTGTGCATTAATGAACATGATATGGTACTTTATTTAAAAACAGATAAACAATGGCAATGAAATGCGAAAAATTATGACAAAGATCACCCATTTAAACTAGAACATGATTTGAAGGCTATGGAAAACATTTTTTTGACTGAACTTCCAATTCATATACAAATCAAAAGAATTAACATTTGTTGAATGGGGAAAAGAACAACTGGATATGGCTGACAAAACAATAATAGATTGAACCTGGTGAAAGTCTGTGCTCATACTGCTCTAAACAGATCTTCTAGTAAACTCTGGGCAGGTTTTAATGAATTGCTTTACCAGTTAATCTAAATGCTTGAATTAATATTTATATAATTTTTTGGTACTTACATACTATGACAACTACCTAGATATCTCACCAAAACTGGCAACCCTTATAGGTTATACAGGTTAACCCTAACATAGGTTATAGAGGGTGCTAAAATAAAGGGTATTATCTCGCGTTTGCTTTACCACACTTTTTTTTGCTACATTTATGCAAAATATTATGTTTAGGTTAAACATATGAAACTTTTTGTGATTATTTTTTTCCCAATGGATATCAACATTTTCTAACTTCCTTCAAATGAAGAAGCAATAGACTTTTTCAGAGAGGCTGGAATTTTACCCAAAGAACACGTTTGTAAAAATGGCCATGATATGAAGTTTTATAATTCAGGATTTTATTGGAGATGAAAAGTCAAAAACTGTCAAAAATTTGGTGTCCGAACTGGTACATGGTTTGAAAACAGTGATATTGAATTTTTAAAAGCTTTACAATTTATTTTTGGGCATATGACCAGTCATCCATTAAATGGTGCAGACATCAGTTGGATTTATCCGATAAGACTGTTATTGACTGGAATAATTATATGCATGAAGTGTGTGTGAAGGATTTGGAGGATACTTTTCCCCTTTATAATTCAGGCTTTTATTTTTAAAAGAATTTGTAAACATAAACCAAAAAATGCCAATGAAGATTTTTATCGGCAAATGTTGCTAAGGTAGTTGTCATAGTATGTAAGTACCAATTTTTTTTTATGTGTTGAAATTTGTAATTTGTATCTTTTGATTATATAAGTAAAAGAATGGTGTGTGATTGTTTATTTAATAAAGAGGCATCAGTTCCTTCAGAATTTCACAAAAACAAATGGCACAACTTTGGTGGGATCTCTGCCAACTTTCATGGTTGATGGGATGTTATGGAAATACTAAATTTTCCTCTAAAGAAGAAGCAAAAACTAATGATCAGTATATGGTTGTAATCATATACTGATTTTCAAATTCATTTTGTAATTTTCTAATTTTTGATTATGAAAACAAATGTTATGACTCCTTTTTTTAAATCAAACAACTCAAAACAAATTGAGCACTGTGTATTTTAACTTATTGAAAGTACTGTGATATAAGATTCAGACTGTTATAAAAACACAGATCAACAGTAACAGAAATATATAATGTGGTGATCAGAGCAGTTATGCACTAAAAAACAAAATTTTAAGTGAAAGAAATCTCTAGACCTTGTTACTGAGTTATGTCTTTTAATCATTCACTTATATTTTTCCTTTAAATCATGGAAAGAAAAAAATTCACATACTTCTAGGCTTTATAGGGCAATATGGCATGAAAAGTAATATGATTATAATAGAAAACAAAATTTATTAAAAGACAAAGAGATAAAAAATCATAAATAACATTTCATTAATACGAAAACATATACCTTTCTTTATCAAATGCTTAGCTTAAAAAATACATATATCTTAAAAGAAGCAGGCATATTTTTACTTCCTCGTACGAAGGAAGTATTGTAATTGCGAAAAATTTCGGGTATCATCTTTCAATGAAAATATACATTTTGACCGCTATTGAATGCAATTTAACAATATTTTTGCGTGACATTTGTGCATAAGGACAGAATATAGGACTCCTTTTTCCCCAATAAAATAATAAAACTGATTTAAAATGAATTCTGAAGAGATTTTTTTGTGGCGTCTGTATGTACGTATCTTGCATAACTCAAAAACAAGTAGCCTCAGAACATTGAAATTTTGTATACAACATGTAGATGTACACCTCCCACTTTGGTTGCAGTCGGCTGCGCTGAAAGTACATATATGTAATAAATTCAGGCTCGGAAGCAATGACCAGGAGCAGGAATTTGGATGGCATAGATGATCCATTATGACTAGGAAATAGGAGGGAAATGCAGATTAACCACTTGCACTAAAAAGACGTGCCATGCACGTCGAGATGCTTTTGTCTCGGTGCACACGTCGCCTAACAACGAGATTGTTTATTTCTTGATTTACAGCTCTAGATTGCAATCGCAGAGTGGAGTAAATGAGACACTTTACCACTTGTTATATTGTAGCACACGGCACCGCAACCATGAAGTTTAGTCCTAGCGCAAGTGGTTAAAACTTCAGTTTTATTTTCAGCTACACACAAGTCAGCATATTAAATGTGCCTGTTCTAAAAGGCTTACATTTTTTATAACTTTGTAGTAAGAAAGCAGCAGCAGATGACAGCAGTTCAGCTAAGGCAAAGCATGGAAGGAAAGTGCGTAATGTTCAGGATGAAATCTCAAGTCAAACTGAGTTAGTTTTTGTTCTCAAAGCATTTTGATTGGATAGTTAATATTGCTGTAAAATTACTATTATCTGCTTGAGTTTTAGTTCAATTTACATCACCAGAATTATGTAAGAGTCATATGACATAGATTGTTTTCGAAATGAACGCAGTGCAAATAGATGTTGTTATTTTTAGAATAGAGAAGGGAAATTAATTTGCACTGCTAATTTAATCTTTTAGATATTCTTTTTCTACATATATATATATATATATATATATATATACATATATATCCACTTTGTTAGTTGGCTCAGTGTCTTTATTCTTATATGTTTGTAAATTGTGCATTTTTTGCTTTAAAAATGACTGAATTATGTTGTTCTGGTTAAGATTTTTATGACTTTAGTTAACCTGCATGCAATAATTGTGGAATTATTAACAAGTTAAAAGTTTTTTTAAGTGTGGCTAAGCCTAATTTTTGATTACCACAGCAACCATGTTTGTTTACATTTGAAGCTTAGCAGAATAGGGGAATTTTTGCCAATCTAAAGAAACCAAGCTTCACAACAACAAAGTAACATCTTCTTTTATTATTGTGAATTAAATTATCCTTAATTAATTCTGGATCATTTAAGTTATTAGCATGTTTTAGCGTAGAAACTGTAATTCTAATTGTAAATATTGTTTTTTTAATTGTTTTAACTGTACTTGGTGTTTTATGTTTTTCTATATCTTTCAAATTTTAATGAAAATACAGGGTGTTTATAAAGTCCCGGACCCATTTTGATGTTTAATAACTCATAAAATAATAAAGATAGATTAAAATTAACAACATAAATGATTAGATAGACTCAAAAAGTTTTATGACCCTTGTCAATGAACTCCGACGTGTGCCCCCTTTGTCGCACGGAGAATATCAAGTCGATATTCAATTTCATGCCAGGTATCGGCAAGCATGTCACAATCCACAGAGGCTATTTCGGTTGTAATTTTGACTTTTAGGCCATCAATGTTCGACACGCTCCTCCTGTAAACGTTGTCTTTTACAAATCCCCAAAGGAAAAGTCCAGCGGCGTTATATCAGGTGATCTGGGTGCCCAAGAAATTGGACCTCCTTGCCCAATCCATCTTCCTGTAAAATAGTCATTCAAAGAACTATGAAGGATGGTACCCAAATGAGGTGGTGCACCATCTTGTTGCAAAAAGACATGTGGCAAAAGCTCTTCTAGTTGTGGAAATACGAAGTTTCTCAACATGTCTAAATATACGACTGATGAGACTGTCTTTTCTGTAAAAAAGAAAGGCCCAATGACCCAGTCGTGCATTAGTCCACACCACACATTAACCTTTGGGGAATCCTTTTGTACCTCCCGATATTCATGGGGGTTTTCAGATCCCCATATGCGCACATTATGGCGATTAACAATGCCAGAAAGATGAAAAGATGCTTCAAATCAAAAACAAAAGAGAGAAAAATGCAATTAATAAGCAGACAATATTTAGAAAAGTACAGATATTTAGACTGGAAAATGAAATTATCTGAAATTAACCACACGTGCAGACGATATTTACAAAAGTAAAGATATTTAAACCTGAAAAGGAAAATATATAAGTTATTCCATCAATAAATGCCATAAGTTTGTTTAGATCTTCATTATTTTATGAGTTATTAAACTTAAAAATGGGTTCGAGACTTTATAAACACCCTGTATTTTGAATTTTTATGTATTTTTGCCTTGCAGCGAAGTGAGAACTGAATTAATTAGTAGCGCATGCGCATTAGGTAAGTGGCGCTGAAGCGTCTGCGAAAAACTGTTCCTTTTTTACTTGTTTAATTCCTTTTATATATCATTTTAGATTTATTATAGTATTTGAATAGAACTTGTGGTAAATCTTCAAATGATATAACTTTTGCGTACTCTGTGTTATAAAATGAATGAGATGTAATGCTGTTAAGTGAATCTAGTGCTGGTGTGGCTATGGTAAATAAATATAGTGAACTTTAAAGAGTGAATTGATTCTATTGTGGTTTATGAGCTATCCACAAAGTAGATCTAATTCAAAATTCGTTAACTGTTAATTCAATATGTTTAAATGAAATGCAGTTGTGTATAATTTAATATTCCGTACAAGGAAGTCGTCGTGTACACGTCAGATTTTTTTAAGATTACATTTCAAAACAAGTTTACAATCTACAATAACAGAAAATGACAGGTATTGTATGAAATGCTCTTATTTACATACCATTACGCTGATTTTTGTTATTTGCAATATCAATCACATCATTTTTTGCACTGGAAGAGAAAATATCTGAAGACCAATCACTGAAAATTAAGAAAAGAAAGTAGAATGAACTAAAACAACAGTAAAATTTTCAAATGCCAAAATAAAAACTACACAGTTAGATATGATATAATATTACACTATTATAAAATTTTCATTCTGGTTAAGTATATATCTTTCTAAATTCTATTTGCTTATTCTCTTCTTTCAATCGTTACGTATTTTGTCACTGAACAGCAATTAAGAATTTAGGAGAGCAAGAAATGTATGGTAAGAGGCAATGTTAATGCTTTTAATTCCTTCCCATCAAATTCTGACAGAACATTTATTTAGAACTGAATTAGAAGAATTAAGTAATTTTGCATAATGAAACGTGAAAATTCAGTCCAAATCCACCAAAAGGTATAATATTGGCAGGATAAGATTAACTGTCATCACTCCAGCCTTCTGCCCTTCTACCACTCTACCTTTTTTCAAAAATGTTCCTGTACAAAAAGGCCTAAAAGAGATAGTTATGTATTTTGATAAGAAATAATCCCAACTTTTAAGATTGACACCTTTCTAGCTATTTTTATTCATATTATTATATTTCATTATGTAAATAAATGCTATAAATGAGGAGAAAACTAAAATGATAAAACATCACATGATGTAGCACAAAGTTAATTTACTTACAAAGTTAACAAAAGTTAGATAGCATTTATTAGTATTCCTCCCTTTTCCCAAAATATCACAAAATGTTATTTTTTACAATTAAAAGCAAATCAGATAAGGTAAAGATTAATAAATTAAGTTACTCAGTTTAAAATAATTTAAGATTAGACTTTGAAATTATTTTAAACTGCACAATGATGCTTTAAAAAAAAATTAAACACTACATTCCCCTTAAATTAATACATACACAAAGCAGCATTTAAATATTCTGCTTGATTCAGCAAATATAAGCAAAATTTTGCATACTAAAGTTTTTGAAAAAATCTCATAAACTGGAACAAATTTAATTATAATTTTTCGGGGATCTCTTTCCATATTTTTTTCCCTCTCATTTTCAAAATGCTTTAAAATGAAAAATTACATTATGCACCCCAAAATCACAGGATATCTTATTGATGATACTTGAGACTGTAGTAATGCATTAATGGAAGATCCAAGCTCCTTTTGCTGTTGTCAGGACTCTTAACCTTCAGAATATTTAGATAAATTGATAAGGGAATTAATTTGCCTCCCCTCCTATGGTATCATGACAAACAGTTAATCAGTTAACAGTACATGGTTCATTACATGTTGTATTTAACTGACACTTCAGCTATGTTACTGCCCAAAATCTTTTGGTAGATACCAAATTAAAAAAATTCAGGAAATGAGACTAAGGGAAAGTCAAAATTAAAAAATAAAAAAGTAGCTCCACAGTATAATTAAACAATTCCCAAATTTCAATGAAGGCCTAACATACACTAGTTTCTTTACAATTATTATTCAAGTTAAATGCATAAGTTCAAGATAACATGCAATAATTTATTATTCAGCAGGTCCTCCTATCATTTTACAATCTAACAATGATATTATTTACATCAAAATACCATGCAGTTACGAATTTATCAATAGTTTCTAAGCAAAAACCCAATGATAAAAACCAAGTGTAATCATCTCTTTGCATACAGTCCAATCACTGACCTTCCTTTCTGAGCTGAAATGAATCATATGTAGTAATTGCTAATGCTATCTGATTATTTCAATTCATTTAGATTTTGTCAATCTTCAATCATCGTTACTTTTTTTTAAACTTATAAGGTTTATAACTAGGTCTGATGCTCCATGATGCTTTCACATTTTGATAATGTTATTAAAATTCTAATGGGACATATTTTAATGATCTGACAAAATTATCGATCCAGCAAACTCAAACTACCATATCTTGCTTGAATAAATTACAGTGTGCATCTTTCAGTTATTCTGGTAATGCTTTAATAATATTAATATATTAATGTCTTTTTATAACTCTACTGCATGCATTCACACCATGAGCTAGATCACTTGGAATTAAAAGCTGCACAGTGATTTTTTATTAAACAGAGCAAAAACTACGAAATATTCACATAAAATATTGCACTATTATATAATTTTGATAATCAACACATCTTGAGACCAATAACTCAGTGATCAGTGAATTTTGCAGATTATAGATCATGCCTTTTAAGTTTTAACTTTTTCCCTTTCAAATGTTTACATTAAATCCGAATTGTTTTTGCCCATTAATAATTAGCTAAATTAAAATTTATTTAATTAATACTTAATGAACAGAAAACTGTTATATGTTTTAATATAGGAGAAAAATAAATAAATAACACTATTTACAAAACCCCCAGGAGTAAGGAATTTCCTAAACTGGAATCCTTTACATTCTGCATACGCACAAATCGATTAAATAGTATTGTAAGAAGAACTAGAGTTGAAATTTTGCATTTATTAAAACTAATTTTGTTTTAAGCCATTTTTCTTTATCATACTTTTCTTTAGTGCTATTTTCAAGAATATTTCTTTGTTGGCCACCAATATAAACACTCTTGCTAGTTGTGCAGAATATAAATAAACAGCTAAGTGGTGACTTAAGTTGGAATGCAATGTCCAAAGTGTTGTAGACTGATAAATTCTTGACACATGCCACACTATTCCAAAATTAGTTAAACACATACTTGCCAACCTATGACACGCAAAAATCAGGGGATTTTTTTAAGAAATCGGGAGATTTTTCACAATGTTAAAAAGACTTTTTAAATGATGAAAATATAGTTTTTAATAATGAATTAACTTTAAATAGTAACTAATTCTTAAATGCAAGCAACACAAAAATACCTTACACATAAAAACATTTTTATTACTAGCATCGTTTAAAAAAAAAAAAAAAAAAAACACCTTAATCGGTTTTTGAACAAATGTTATAAACAGTGGCAGATTTTGCTTTCTTTAAGAAACTTCATAATTTTGTTCATAGCAATTGCCACATAAGCCTGGTTCCATCAGCATCTTTCAGTTTTCCAATTAAACTCCACTGGGTGTCAATCCTAGCTGATTTTATAACTTCATCCAAGTTTTCTAATTGTAAACTACTGTTATGCAGCTGTTGGAACTGTTTCAATTTTTCCTTCCTTTTAAAACTTTCAAGATAATAATAAATATCAACAATGTGTTCAACTACATTTTTTATTGGTAAAGAAGCTGCCCTTTTTTCAGCTATGGCACAGTGGCAGGTTGTGCTCCAGTAAAAAGGCAGAGAACACACATTCTAACTTTTGGTTAATTAATAATTTGGTTAATCACATTAATAACTTTTTGGTCCTTTGTTTCCGAAGAAAAATTTAATTTTTCTTTTTTTTTCAAAACAACTCATGTTGTCCTTGTGTTTTTGTGCACGCACATGTTTGAGAACATCCGCCCTTCCACCATGCGAAATCGAAAAACCGCAACGACAGGCAGTACACATCGCAAATGTATTACATTTCCTTGAGGAAATAATGGAAGGAAAGTCAACTGTGTACGATTTTTGAAACGTACAAGAGTATTTCACCTTTCTCGCAAACATAACAAAAGATGATAATTTCTAAAACTATTTCCCGAAGGCACGTGTACTTACACAACTCAGGACAAGATGAACGAAATAACTAAAGAACATTCAAATAACTGCCTTGAGCTTGCTTTGTGCTCATTGGCTAAAACATGCCAGATGACACATAGTGGAGCACGATGCCCATTGAAGAACTGGAGAACGACGTTTCTGGTTACGTATATGCTCTCACTCACAAAGCAGAAGTTATCTGATTTGCAAGGTTTTGTTTTAGACATAATCTAGAGAAAATTCAATTGCTTTCAGACGTCCAAAATTACTTTTTTTTTGTGTGTGTTCATATTACAAAGCATTAAGCCAAGTTCCATAAAAATCGTGAGAAATTTTAAGAATAAGAAAAAGTCGGGAGAAATATATTGTAAATCGGGTTGGCGGGAGAGCAGTCGAAAATCTGGAGTCTCCCACCTAAATTGGGAGAGTTGGGAACTCTGCACATATATTTAAACTTTATATTAAAAGGCAGCAGAATATGCATCCAAAAGCAGAAACTTGTTAAAAGTAAATATTTGCAATATTATAAAAAGAAAACACTGATACAAATGCAGAAAATGCTAGTTTCAACAATGAAATAAAAGTTTATTTTCATATACACATTGGGGGGGGGGGGAACTGGTGCTGAAATTGCCATTTTGAGTTCTCAAAAAAATTGAAATTTTACCTGCTTACATTCAAAATTGATTACACATATCCACAGATTATTGAAATTCCACTATAATATATCTAAATATATTACATTCAAAAGACACATTACCTGATATTTGTTTGATGTATATTTTGACTCCTATTTTCAGATTGTGAGTCTGATAGCCAGTTATTGAAGTCTGTCAATTTTTTGCTGCCAGTAAAAGAGTCAGAACTAAATGTCTTAAAATCATGACTATTAAGTGAATTATCAGTGGCTTCAATTAAAGAAGAATCTAATCCTTTCAAACTATCACTGATTTTATCATCAATACTCTGAGAGGAAACATCTTTTGAAAAAATGTCATTGCTACAAGTCCTACGACTAGAAAATGATGAAAATGCAGTTGAACTGAAAGATGCTGGATTTTCCTGCTGTGAAGAAGTGTTTATATTTTCTAATGCAATATTTCCAGCACTAACCAATGAAAATCTCTGATTAGAATCACAGCCCATCACTTCAGCATATGATGGTGGACCACTACCTATGACTTCTATATAACTGTCTGGACATAATCCCGTTTCTCCATTATCAGTAATGAATTCAAACCATTTCTGGCTAACTTTGCGAATCAAAGTAACAGTATCTCCTTCTTTCAACCGTACATTACCTTCTACTTCTGGGGTAAAATCACAAATTACTCTGCCATATGTGTCTGTAGGAAAAAAATTATCTCCCTCATCTGAAGTTTCTGAAGTTCCACCAGACTTTTCTTTTGAGTCTGGGCAATCTACAATAATGTTAATAAAGTTTGCTGGAAAAATTCCAATTTTTCCATCAAGTTCACCTTCTATCCAATCTCTACTGACATGACGAATCAAATTGACGATCTCACCAGCACCAAAGCTTAGTTCATTGGAAAATTCTGCTTGAAAAGGATAAATAGTTCGGCCATACGGTGTAATGCCACTGTTGATGCAATCATAACCAGAATGATTGCCATTTTGAAGCAAGTCATTACTGTATGAATTAGTAGAAGGTACAGACAACAAAGACTGTAAATTATCCAAGGGATCTTCATTAAGCAGAGTTACAAAAGAAGCTGGAAAAATACCTTGTTTGCCTTTGCATTCACCCCTAAGGAAAATAAACTTAATTAGATATATTTTTAAAAATTAATAAAATGAAAATAAGAAGTATTCTATTTATTACATTTTTTTAATTCTTAGAAACATAACCTCTGCAGTGTTTCAATTTTAAAATATAAATATTCACACAGTCTGTATCTTAAAAAAAGGGGGTTAATTTATTAGACATTACGATCATTTAAATACATCTGTCACTGTTTTTTTCCTAGAACAAATTGTACATTTGTATAAAATATTTATCATCCATTCAAATTATGTGTTTTTGTTGACAGCATACACACCATACAAAAATTTTATCAACTACTATAACAGAAGTTTAGCATTAATTTCAAACAGGAGATTAATATACATTTTAAAAGATTTTATTATTATAAAACTGACGTGAGAAACATAAGATGAGAAATACAATGAAATATTAAGCTAGTAAACAAATGGAGTGGCCCAAGATAAAGAATACAGGTCGAGTAAAGCCATGATAATGATGAGTGCAATGCAAAGCATTTAAAAGTCTGTGTGATAAAAAGAAAATTGCCTCATATTCTTATTTAAATAAAAAAAGAGTTAATCAAAATTAAGAAACTTCCCGTATTTAAAATGAAAAATAAAAAAATTTAAGGAACACCTTTTTCTAAACTACACTGTGAAAATAAGAATGGCATGCATGAAATTTTTTTAATTACTATAAACTGAAATAATATAAAAATACAATTACATAAGAATTCCATGCAATACTCTATTATACTTCATTCACGCTTATGTGAATAATTAGGAAAGCCCTCTATAAAATATTATAATGCAATATTGTAGACATATCAACTTCAAAATTTTGAGCAATAAACTATTATTAAACATAAATTAGAACAGAATAAACACTTGCTTACTAATTTAAAATTTTCCATTGATGGATCACCCCTCCAAACCAAGAAGGCATTTGTCATAAAAATAAGTGTAAATTATACAGATAAAATAATTTAAATTATGATAAAAAATTATAAAAAGAACTAGATAAGCAGCTAAATGAATAAAACAGATTATAAAAAAGCATACAGTTTCAAGTAAATTATTTAAAAAACAAACAGTAAGATAATGCACATTGCCTTTCATTAAGGTTGGACAGAAAGTCTAATTTTATTGTAGTGACTTGCAAAAGCTCCTTTCTGGTTGCATAACCTGAATTGAATGGCACAAATTTGATAGTCAGCTATTGCCAAATTTCACTTAACATACCTGAGCAAAAGCAGAAATAGCTGCTCTGAAGCGCTGCTTCAACATATCTAAATCATGATGAAGGGGAAGGATAAAGACCTTATCTTCAAATAATCCAAAAGAAAAAAGTCACCAGAGGTTAAGTCAAATTTTCAGAGTGACAAGTAGCATAATATGTACTAAGCTCATTTAATCCCAAGAAACAATGAACATATGGAATGATTTGGAAAAACTTCAGACTAGCACATGCATATCCCTTTTTAGTTGTCATCACCATACCTTTTGTTATGCAGCACACACCCTTAAAATTTAGCTATCCTTCAAGTAACAGCATATATGCTCATTTTAAAGTACTGAATGATATTTTATATTGCTTGCAAACAGTACAGTAAATTTAAGTAATATTCATGCCTCCTTGCAGAATTATTGCATCAATTAAGTTACATATATAAAGATATTTGGGGGTAAAAAGATAGTATTTACTACAGGTTTTAAATGAGTGTGCATAAATGCACTTATTGCAGAAAAATAATTTAAAAAGTAAGAACTAAAAGCAAGAGAAAATATGACAGTAAGTAAAGTACGTGAAAATAATTGTCTTACTAAATACATGAAATTAGGTTAAAATCAACTTGTATTTGAAAAAGACTGTATCTATTAAACGAGTCAGATTTTAATTCTTAAATCAAAACTCAAGCATTCAAATACAAGGCAAAATATATACAGTACAAAGTCTGAAATCCAGACTCGTCGGGACTTCAGAGATTTCGGATTTGGGCTTTTTCTGAATATTATATCATCAGTTTAAATCTAGTAAGATGGCATGTAGAAATTATAAAATTAAAAATATGAAATCGTGATTTATGAAATAATGAAGTATTTATGATCTAAAGAGTATCAAAATTTACAAAAAAAAAAAAAAAAAAAAAAAAAGAAGAAGAAGCTTAATATTTATTTGTTTACCTTATTAAATATTTCTTTCAATGGAAGTTGTTTAAGTTGCTTCGTTTTTTGTGATCATACTTTCTCTTTAATTCTGTAGACAGACATAATCTCTTGTTCAGTTACATTGTTGAAGTCTTGTAACTGCTGTTTCGAGAATTCCGACTAACTTGTCAATCGAAATTTTCTCGTTTTCAGTAACTTCTCTGTCACTTTCTTCACTATCAGTAGAGGTATTTTATGGATCTAGAACCATACTACAGATTTCGCCATTCAATTAATTGATTGATGATTGAGAAGCATTGTCATCACAATGAAAAACTTCTTTTATATCACCTTCATTTATTACCGCTTCTTCCTATTTTTTTACAAAATCTATTAATTGGAAAATTTCACCTTTGTTTTGAGACATCCAAAAACCTTTAAAATTTGGCTACCATCATCAAATTTAGCTATCCTTCACTGTACATATTTTTGGCTATGCATCATGAGCTTTGCGACTAACAAGTTTGTTCTGTTAAATTTTTCTTGCTTCTATCGCACGAGACAATTAGCCTGATTGTATTACTAGTTATTATTATACTTATGTCTATTTCTTGCACATGCTTAAAGCTTATCAGAGTTCTAAATAAATAAATTTCCATATATGCTTAAGCCTCATTGACAGCCGGTACAAGTTGTCATATTTTGATAAACATGCGGTGTTGAAAGGAAAGTATAATAAATAATGATTCGCCATGTTGGTGTCAGATCAACAATGTATCTATGTGGAATGTTTCGGTTTGAGATATGTGTCAAGCAGATACGCAGCAACGGAGCCAACTTACTTATCATACAAATTTATGCTAAAATGATTGTTTCTTCAATAACAAGGTATTTTTTAATTAGTGTCGAAGTGAAATTAATAATCGGGACTCTCCAGATGTTTTATTATGTGCTGAGGGGGAATCAAATGTGCATGCATAAAGCATATGAGAAAAAACGTTGTTGGTGGTTTTGAGGTCCACATTTTAGATCATTCCGGATAATGGATGTCTGGATTTCGAACTTTGTACTGTATATATATATTATGTATATATATATATATATATATATATTCTTCTGCTGATCTAAGTATATTTAAAATTAGTACATTACATAGACATAATATATGTGCACAGACATTAGGTTTATTGAAATTTGGAGATGTGAAAAATGAGCAATGCCCTTGTCGGGATTCAAACTTGGTACTACCTAATACATGCTGAGTGTGCTAACCATTACACCACAAAGGCATGGAGAAAGGAGGGAGAAAATACATTATACATGTGGTCTGATGCCTGCTAGACATTTAAACTGACATTATAAACTCCCCCTTTTAAAGGAGGAGTATATAATATCAGTTGGACTGGGCCTTATAAAGGGCTATATTGAGCATTCAGATTATATTTTCAAATAATAATAAAGATGTATTAGAATGATACAAGAGGAATAAATTTATACCTGTACCATCCCTTTTCAGTTTCTTCAATCACAGTAACTATTTCATCTTTAACAAGATCTATTTCTTCTGGAAGTTGTGCTTTCAAATTCATTTTAACCCTAGCTTTTCGAAACATCTTGTTAAATTTGTGCACTGGAAGTATATCTCGATTTATTTTCCACACATGTGTTAAAGGGAAAACACCATGATGACCATCAAGCTGACCTTCCCACCAGTGTAAATCAACAGGACGGATTCCAATCACCAAATCACCTATAATGAAATAGAGATGTTAGTGGAAAAATTTAACACATTCAATTTCTGATATCCAAATGCAATAATATAACAATTAATTAAAATACAACAATATTTTTGCGCACGCAACCATACAATGGATTGACCACGATATAACTATTTAATCAGCAGCATAAATTTAGGCAACACATAGAACATAAAATTTTATTATTTTAAGGTAAAAATTTTATATCATGAAAGTAATTTTTATTTTACAGGAATGTAAAACAAAACATAAGAATGAGCACCGGCAGATTACAGTTTCGCTGATATCTCTTTACATAATCACTCAAGATAGGCAGAAAGAAATTGATAATTTATTACAAAAATTCATGACATAGCACAATAAATAGCTGAAAACAACTCAAGGAGAGATTGGATATTAAGCAGTTCATCCTTAATACCAGAAAAATATTGTCAATTCCCAAATCCACTCACAAAGTAAACTCTAAATTTTGCAATTCGGCTAATTCTCTTTGAATCTCACAGTTGATTAACATCTAATTAATTCTAGTACTAGCCGCCATATAGTGTAGCATGGGCTTTTAGAAGTATCAGGAAGAATTGGTCATATGGCTCCAAAATGCTTTCTCACAAAATTAAAAAAAAAAATCATCAAGCTCATGGGAAAACGAAAATTTGTTGTCGAAGTCTTGTCAGAACATATTTTCCTATACCTCTCTACTACTTGATCATTTTTACAATTTAAGTGTTGCAGGCTCGGAATTGAAAGTTTGAAAATTTTATATAAGAAATAGACACTTATATATAAATTATGTGGCAAACTGCTCAGAAGCTGGATTCATAATCCGATTAATAACAACTTTCACATGATAAATGGAGCACTTAATACAGTTTTAACACTTAAAAAAAACCATTTATTTATACACATATACAAAAATGGATGAAAATATATACAGTACAGATCCGGACTCGTCGCGACTTTGGCGATTCCGGATTTGGGATTTTTCTGGATATTACGTAGCGTATTCGGAAACTTAAGTACCGTTTCATTCTAGCGCCGTCACAGCGCTGTGGTAGGCGTCCCACGCATGCGCACTAGTCTTTCTTGTTCACTGAATTTCAATTATTGCCATTTTGGTTGCTCTATGTTGTGTTTTCAGTTTGCTGTGCACATTCAAAATGTTTAAGACAATTAGTTCTCCCGCTGACTGTGAGATTCGTGCCGTGATTAAATTTTTGAACGCGATTAATGTTAAACCGGCCGAAATTTATCGTCAAGTGACAGAAGTTACGGTGAATACGCGATAAGTGCGGAATGGTAAGAAGTGGGTAAGAATGTTTAATGCAGGTCGAACAAATGTCCCACGCCGAGGCTCTCGGAGTGGTCGGTCTTCTGTTGTCACCGATGATTTGGTAAGGAAAGTGGATGAAGCAATTCATGAGAACAGACGCTTCACAATGACAAACTCTTTCAGAGGCATTTCCACAAATTTCACGTACTGTTTTGTTCGAAATTGTGTCTGACCGCTTGAATTTATCGCAAAACTGTGTTCCCGAGGGTTCCAAAAATGCTCACTGATGTTCACAAAACAAAAGTGACTTGGTAGTGCCGTGACATTTTTCACACGGTACAGTGATGAGGGAGAAAAAAACTTTTTAAACCAAATTGGTGACAGGGTGATGAAACTTGGGTGTGTCCATTTCACACCAGAATCGAAACAACAATCGATGGAGTGGAGACACACTCATTCTCCGAAAAAACAAAAGTTCAAAGTGACAATGTCATCACAAAAAAATATGCGCACTGTCTTCTGGGATAGGAAAGGCGTTTTGCTTATGGAATTTCTTCCCAGAGGCGAAACCATTAATGCGGCACGATATTGTGAGACTTTAACAAAACTAAGGCCTGCCATTCAAAACAAACGAAGAGGAATGCTCAGTAAAGGAATTGTGTTGCTCCATGACAATGCTTGGCCCCATACTGCTGGTGTCACTCAATCGTTAATTCGACAGTTTCATTGGGAGCCGTTCAATCACGCGCCGTACAGTCCGGACTTGGCGCCGTCCGACTATCACTTGTTCCTACACATGAAGCACGAGCTTGGTGGCAAGCGCTTTGGATCTGACGATGACACGAAAAATGCTGTGGAGTCGTGGTTATCAAAACTGGCGGGAAGTTTCTTTGATGATGGTATACAAAAACTGGTCACCCGCTATGACAAGTGTTTGATCATTCGCGGAAACTATGTTGAAAAATAGTTTAAGACCTGTATTTTCATGTAAAAATAAAATTGGATTCGAAAAAATTGTTTTACTATTTTTTTTTTTTTTTTTCAAAACAGTACTTAGTTTCCGAATACGCCTCGTAGATCATCAGTTTAAATCTAGCAAGATGGCAAAATATAAAATCTTGATTTATGAAATAATGAAGCATTTATGATGTAAAGGGTATCAAAATTTACAAAAAAAAAAAAGCTTGCTTAATATTTATTTCTTTACTTTATTAACCATTTCTTTCAATTTAAGTTGTTTCCTTTCTTTACTTCATTATCGCTAGCAGTATTTTCTCGATTTAGACCCACTACAGATTTCGCTGTCCGTTAACCCAATGAAAAACTTCTGTTATATCATCCTTTATTACCACTTATTATTGCAAACCAAAACCACTCAATTGCAACCCACACCACTCTGAGCCTTTGAACCACTCAAATTCGTGGCTATCATCTTCATCATCCTTACCATGAAATATGGCACCTTAAATTATGCCAAGCATTTTTTAAAGCATCTGGAAACACATTCTCCTATGATCTTGCGATGCTCCACACAGCAGATTTTATGCCAAAATATTTTAAAAATTCCTGAATAGTCTTGCCATTATTTAATTTATTTAACATGGATTTAAAAATGCTATTTTATATTTGTATTTCAGCACGCACACTATTTAGACATTCATAGGCTAAATGATCCATGTACAATTTGGAGGAAAGAATAATATGGATACATTATCTTTCACTAAAACTTTAAGTGAAGTATGAGCCGAACAGTTGTCTATACTCAGAACAATTGTTGCGTCATAAGGTAAACCAACCGAATTCAAATGTTGTTGAGTCTCAGATATTGCTTCATGAACAAAGTTCATGCATGTGGGCACCTGGGAAGACTCCCTATCCCAATATAACAATTGGGTAACTTTCCAAATGTTGAGTAGCATATGGAGGTTTCAGGCAGTACTATGGTAAAGAAAGAAATTCGTTATGGAAAGTCTGTAGCAGCAGGAGCAAGTAGTAAGTGTTCGTAAAGATGCAAGAGGCGACATATGAATGCGTAAAGATGCTAAAGCAAAATATATTTGTAGTTTACTCTGTTGTCTGATGTGCAGGCGTCTTGGAAGGAGTGCAATATCTGGTGGTTATTCAGGAGGCAGGAGTTATATGCTTATCTTCACTAAAGCTAGGAGAGAGCTGAGTGGGACAGTATGAATTTGTGTGCTAGGGGTGGGGCTAACAACTCTTTTTAGACCATACTAACTTTAGAAGGGCAGCCGAATAGTAATGAGGGGACGGGATTTAATTTAGAAACTTACCTGCTGAACTTAGAAAAATATTCAAATCATTCAAGAATTTTACCATAGCTAACCTTAAATTCATAAGTCTTAGGGCTTAATCTCTTAATTTACAGTAGGTGTAGCTATGCATAGACATAATAATTATTATTATTAACACTTTTTTAATACTTTTTAACAATGAAACAGGATAGCAGCACACTGACTGCCCATGACTTCTTAAATTACAATAATAATTTTAGTAATAATCTCTAAGCAAGGCCTGTGGCCTTTTTCTGTTTTCTGGATCATTAATGTCATACTGCATTGTTGGGATGGTGGGATTATTAACTTTAGCAATATTTTTGTAGAGCTTTTTTGCAAGTCTTATCATGAAGTCCACAATAAATGGGATGTTAGTCTCCTGATTGATTATATCATTTCGAATATACCAAGTACTATTGGTAACTTGTCTCAGAGTGACACTTTGTAGCTGTTATAGTTTTTGCATAGAGGAATTACAGACATACCCCCAAACAGGGCAGGCGCAGGTTAAGATGGTACGAAGCATGGCATTGTAAATGACCAATTTATGATCTAGCGCTAATACGCTGTTTTCAGCGATTAGGGGGTAGAGTAGTTTTTTACTGACTTGAAACTTGTTAGTTATGTGTTTTATGTGGGGCTTCCATGTAAGATGTTGATCAAGATAAACTCCACGGTATTTAACTTCCTTGGCCCAGGGAATGGTAGTACCGTAAATAACCACATTTCCATTAGTTTCGTCTATTTTCTTTTTCCTAGTAAAAATGATTGCTATGGTTTTATTGACATTAATCTTGATCTTCCAATTTAGAAGCCAGGATTCCAGTGCCTGTATGTGAATTTGTAACTGTTGTATAGCTGTGCTAACAGATGCATTTTGTGAGAGGATAGCTGTGTCATCTGCGTACATAGTAAGTGTTGTGTCGTGTGTGTGTGTGGGATATCTTTCATGTATAAAATGAATAAATAAGGTGTGAAAAGAGGACCCCTGTGGCGTTCCTGCACATAATTTGCTTTTAGTGGAGTAGGTTTTGTTTACACGAACGACAAAGTATCTATCTGAGAGATAGGAATAAAGCTTTGTTATGATATGCTCTGGGAATCCCAGAGTGAGCTTGTATATGAGGCTATCTAGCCAAACACGCTCAAATGCTTTTGCTATGTCCAGGAAAATTGCAGCTGAATGTCTTTTCTCCTTGAGTCCTGTGGATTAATTTGGTGACTCTAAATAACTGGTGGATTGTAGAGTGTTTGCTTCTAAATCCATATTGTTGCGGGATAAGAAGTCCTTGATTTTTCCAGTACTGCTTTGATTTCTTTTTAATAGAATGAATTCGGCAATTTTGCTGCAAGCAGGCAATAGGCTTATGGGACGGTAGGACTCAGGCTGATTTGGAGATTTCCGATGCTTGTGAATTGGGGCTATAAT